AGATAAAAAGTCTAAACTAATCCCTAATTCAGTGGAAATTGTATTCATCATTAAAGATTCTGACCTTTGTGTGTCCTTGATGGATAAAAATAAGTTGTTAATGAATTTCATTTGAATGAGTTGATTATAACTTAGCATATTTAAAGTATAAACAATTGTAGTCACATTAATTTAAAGGAGCATACCTATGAATAACTAAGTTTGAATAATTATAGTTAGCTCTTAATATGAGAGCTGGTGTTATACTTTCTGCTTATATATTTATCTGAGAAACTAGTAAATTCTATTTTCATATCAGTTATTAAATTTGCAAACTGCAGAGTTTCCTGGCATATTGTAAAATGTAAAAAATGTTTTTCAACATAAATTATATCAAATCTAGATGACATACTACTCTGATTTCCTATGAGATAATTATTTAAAAAGAGAAATAATTCAAAGGATTGTCTAGTTGATGTAAGTAACCTCTAGTTGAATTCTCAGCCAGAATACTTTGACATAGAAATAATAAAATAGATATTTTAAAAAAATACATCATATTATATTAGCCTTGATATCCCACTTATCTGTATTATTTATTCATTTATTCTAGAGTATAATGTGCATATTTCTTACAAGCAAAGAGATTATTTATCAGGATACTCACACAAACCTAAACAAGTCCTTAACCGTAACCACTTTGTAATATGGCCCTTGGAAAATACATCTTTAATATTCCTCAATTAAAGGTAAAGAAAGATCTTAAAAGTGTCAAGAAGAACGCTCCTCATTCATCTCTTTGATAAAAGCTTGTTGGAATACAACTGAATGAATGAGATAGTCAACCAACCAAAATTTAGCTCTCTAAAATTCCTGCTGAATGGGATCAGAAAGAGTAGTAATAAATCAAATTATAAAAAGCAGTGCTATTTTAGTAATGCATTTATACCAATAATTCAATTCTGCCCCATGTTGGGAAATTCATAAGCCAAAATGTGGTTGAAGGCCCAGTGAAATTAAATTATCTTTGAATATTTGAAAAGAATGAAGATGTATAGATGTTAGGGGTAAAGAATTCCACAGTATGGGAGCTGCCACACAGAAGCCTTGTTGTCTTGCTCATGGCAGTTTAGATACAAGGTAGACCTAACCAAGAATTGTTTATCTACTTGTTGCCTTGATACTGGTTCTGCCCTCTCTGAGTTAAGGTCATCCTCTATTTTTGGTCTCTTAGTAAGCTTACCAGAGAAATATTCTCAATAGATGGATAGATTCAACCCTGGCAGGATGGTGCTTGATATAATGAAAGCCAGCTGGGTGACTTTGGGCTAGTCCAGTGATGGCAAACCTTTTAGAGACCGGCCATGCCCACTGGGTGTGAGTGGCTGTGGTGGTCATGGCAGAATGGGTGGGTGTGGCTAAGATGGATGTGGTCACCTCGATGTTGCTTGTGGGCAGGGACTCCTGCGGGGGCCGGAGAGGGTTGGGGGAGATCCAGAGGGTCTCTGGTGGGTGGGACAGTGGGCAGGAGGCTCATCCTGCATGGTGAGGGGAGACGAGGCAAGGCGGGGGTGTCATTGTCACAGGGCAAGGTGATGCAGAGGCCAGGGCAGCTGCTGCGTGACACCATCGGCCCCGCACACAGAGGCCAATGAGCACATGGGGGCTGACAGTGTCCATCAGCAGCCACAGCCTGCCGGCCCCTCGACTGGCACACTCTGGGGCTCTGCAGCCTGCTGCCAGCAGTTCAGAGAAGCCACCTCTGAGCTTGACGGCCAGCCGACAGCTGAGGAGGCAATACAGTGGGTCGTGCCCGGGAAAAGGAGACCATGCGAGGCTAGGAGGGACGGGATGTGGAGGGAAACCAGCTGTGCTGGGATGCATTCAGCCATGTGGGACCTCAGTGAGTTACCGGGCGGCTGCTTGAAGAGGGATGGTTGCTATCTCCGGGGCATAGCACGTGTGCCCACAGAGAGGGCTCTGAGTGCTGCCTCTGGCATAGCACGTGTGCCCACAGAGAGGGCTCTGAGTGCTGCCTCTGGCACGCGTGCCATAGGTTCGTCACCACTGAGCTAGTCATTCTCACTCAGCCCATCTCACCTAACAGGCTGTTGTTTTGGGTAAAATAGGAGAAGGAAGGAATATTAGGTATGTTTTGCCACCTTATTTATAAAAATAATAAAGACAAGATACAAAAATCTAAATAAATAGTTCAGTGCTATGTTAGCATCAAATTTTATTAGTAACTTATAGCAGATAACCAAGGTAACAATGTCAGGAGAGTTGTTACCATGCTTTGGCTGGATTGATTTACCCGTAATCTCACTATACATATTCAGGATCAGCTGTAATTTTTGCATTACCTCTAAAGGCTACTCCAGAATGCATTATAGTAATCTAGCAGCTTGGTATCCAGCAGGTAGCATCTGAGTCTACTGGAGTTGGGGAGCCAATAGAATTTAATAAATAAACAAATACTTAAATAATAAATTCCAATACCTGTCTGTCCCAGTCCCATGTAAAGTGTAACATCAGGCAGAACTTTATTTAACTACAGCCTCCAGAAGGAGCCCCAAATTACACATCAACTCTTTTGGGTGGAATACTTCCCCATCCAAAGTAACTACCAAGACCAACATTCCTGGACATTATTGATGGACAATTCAGTCTTAGAGGCACTTAATTTGAGTTAATTTTGCCCCATTCAAAATCTGATAAACTCTGGACACTGGTTCAAGATTTCCATGGCATCTCCAGCCTGATCCAAAGTAGCAAGGTACAACAGTGTGTCATCAGCTTAGTAATGACAGGTCCATCCTCCCTCATGATATGTTCAGCATATAGATTAAATAAATAAGGAGATAGTATAAAACTTTATCTCAAATGAGACAATTTGGAGTCAGACTGTTTGCCATATTCCATCTAGAACAGGGCTTTTTTAGGTTTTTCAATGATGATAATGAAATGTTCTTGGATATCTACTTTTCTGAGAAGATTCCACATAGTTAATACAGTCATGGTCTTTCTATAATCAATGAGCTACATATTTGTTTCTTTTGGTATTCTGTGGTTTTTTCAGTTATCTGGCTCTTATTTTTCTGCCTTTTCTAAAACCAGTTTGAACATCTGGCGTCTGCTTTTCCATGTAATTTCTAACTTCTAATCCTAAGTATTACTTTACTAGCATGTGAAATTAAGGATAATGAGTGATAGTTTGCACATTATGTTAAGTCTCCTGGACTTTGGTATTAATATCTAAACTGTCCTTGTCCAATCTGTTGGTTGTTGTACCATTTATGCAGATTTGCTGGTGTCAGTTAGTTAGAATCTTTACACATTCTGAAACTATTCAGTGAGTTCCTGTTGCTTTCCAACTTGGTAATGATTGGAGTACTAATCTAACTTTATCTTCTAGTACAATAATTTACTATAAATTTCATTATCTAATTCTATTTGTAAATTGTCATCTCTTTTGTAAAGAATTTAGTAGATTCTTTACATTATTGATCCTATTTGAATCAGTTCATGTCTGTCCGTCCTTTAGTATGCAGATTTGTTGTTGGAACCTCCTTTGATGGTTACAATTCTTTTGGAAGGCTTTTCTTGTTTATCCATGTCCATTTCCATCTTTGGTGTCTTTACATTCTAATATTGTTTCTTGTATCTTCTAATGACTCTCTTAAATTCTGTAAGTTTTTTCTGAGATCATTGTCTTTCTTGGCTTTGGCTTCTTTTCTTGACAATTTCCACCATCTGTTCTGATTTCCAGCTTACTTTCTTCTGTCTATTGATCTTTGGCAGTCTCTTTTCCATTCATTCTTAACTTCTTTGATTTCATTCCATAGTTCCTCTGGTTCCTTACTAGTGAAGTTCAGGACTTCAAAGCAATTTCTGGTGATCTTGAAAATAGCCAGCATATGTTCAAGATCATATTGTAGAAATTGGATAGCTTTGTTCTTCTGCTTTAGTTTGACTTGGAACTTGCACATGATCTACTCCACAGCCAGTTCTTAGGTATGATTTTGTTATTATAACTAAACATTTCCAATTCCTCGTACCAAACCAATCAAAATGAAAGTATCCAAGTACAGTCCATTTTGTTTATCCTTTATACAGTACTTTCGGATAACCTGATCCAGTGTCATTGTTATGCTAATGATATGTCTATTGGTCTTTTGTGATCTTTGATACCAACATGTGATGACCCATGATAGAGTGTTTTAGTAACATTTCCTTTTGGAGACCATTTTAAAATAACGGCAATGAATTACGCATATACACTATAATTTTGAAAACCCAAGTTTTCGCACTCCCTGGAATAGTGTTTTGCACCCCCAGGGGTGCGAGCACCCCCAGTTGGGAACCCCTGCTTTATAGGTATCTTATTAGTGTAGCAGTTACGGCATCAGGCTAAAAGCAGGAGACAGTGAGTTCTAGTCCTGCCTTAGGCACAAAGCCCGCTGGGTGGTCATGGGCCAGTCACTTTCTTTCAGCCCTAGGAAAGAGGCAATGGCAAACCACTTCTGAAAAAATTTGCCAAGAAAACTGCAAGGATTTGTCCAGGCAGTCTCCAAGAATTGCACATGATTGAACAGAAGAAAAAAAAGGATTTTAGAACCATTGCTGGCATCTATAACATTTATCTGCTTGTTTCTTTATTGTTCTCACCTTTTTTAAATTGGCAAAACATCAAAGAAACAATTGTGGAGTAACTTACAAGTTCTATGCATTCAGACCTGAATATTACAGAATGCAAGGTTTTTAGGGATTTTGAAATATTTCATTATGAAAAGTAGTCCTACTCTGAAATTAAGTGGGCTATGCCCAAGGATTTCATATAAGAAACAAACTAGGTTTCTACTTAATGGATTTAGTTTTAAAATTTATATAGATTTTCTCTACACATGCACAAAAATACTTTTTCTCTTTTGAATACTATGTTGTGTTTTAGGTTACATGTTGTGTTTTATAATTGTTATATATATCTGCCCTTAAGAAATCATTGTTTGTTTGTTTTAAAGGTCCCTCTGAGCCAGTATTGCAATCGCGCTATTATGAAGTTGATGTATTGTGCACACTGCCGGGGCATGTCAAACATTAAGCCATGTAATAGCTATTGCCGTAATGTCTTGAAGGGTTGCCTGGGCAATCATGCTGACCTGGACACTGAATGGAAGAATATGATTGGTAAGATCTATAGATTTTTGCTTGAAAAAAATGCTTTCACTGACATTTTTTGCAGAGTTCTTGTTTTTCCTTTTAGTTAACTGATGCAAATTTGGAGATCAATTGAAACATGCATTAGAGGAATATTTTCAATATCTCTGAAGCATCACTTCTTCCTTTAGATGAGCCTTATCCAATATTATTCTCCATATGTTTTGGAATTCCATAGTTCCCATAACAGATTATAAGTTTTTCAAGTTTAGGATATCTACTTAGAAGACACCAGGATATAGAAGTTCCAAGTATACATCAGTATCACAGACTGGATGATTTTAAGCAGTTAAAAAATTAATAATGGCCTCAGAAAAGGTGGGGTTTTTTTTTACCAATGAGTAAAAAGTTCAGTCATCTTCAAACTGAATTCTATTTCTAGTAAACTACATGGACATTTTCATATAGAAAAAGTTTTAAAATTGAACAATGGTTCTCAGGCTTAATTATAAAATTTTGTTTTGTATTCTTAGATTTATTACATCACTTTATCCTTATGACTTCTTTTTCTGACTTTCAGGACCTAAACTGATCAATTGATTGAATGCTTTCGAGCCAGCATTGACTCTTAATGACACCCACATAGATTTATTTCATGATGATCTGTGTCTCGAGTTCTTCAGGTTTTCCAACAGTACATCCATTGCCATTTTAATTGAAGCCATCCACCATTACAGACTTCTCAAGAGACCTACAGTTTTCCATAATGTGTCTAAAATAGGAGAGGTTGAGCCTAGTCATTGTGCCTTGAGTGAGAATGCTGCGTTGATCCATTTGTTTAGTTGGCTCATTGTCCATAGTATTCTTGAGAGTTTTTTCCAACACCAAAGTTCAAAAGCATCAGTATGCTTCCAATCCTGCCTCTTTAAAATCCAACTTTTGCTTACATAATGCCACTGTTTGCACTATTCTGATCTTCGTAGGTATAGGTAAATCATGGTATCTGAATATCTAGGATATAAGTAAATATATAAAATATTCCATTGATATATATTGCATTTTCAATATTGGTTATAGCAATTACAAAAAGACCATCTCAAATGTTTGTTTGATATACTTCTTAATCAGTATCTTTTTATTCTTTTCCCCAATAGATTCATTACTGTTGGTGGCTGATCGTTTTGATGGACCATCTAATGTAGACATTGTAATAGGTACAATTCATGCTAGGATTGCTGAAGCCATTTCAAACTTGCAAGAAAACAAAGAATCTATAACAGCCAAGGTAAGAGCTAAATTGTGAAGTTCAGAATATAACTTTACCTCTTATATATTTAATTGCCTATATTTTTCTTATTCCTCACCCCCCACACACAAACACACCTTCATGGTATTTCCTGTAAACCATCACCTAAGCATGCCAAGTGACTTTGGATCATAACCCAGGAATTTTTAGCCAGTGACATTCAATGACAAGTTACCAGGAAAGGATCCCATTGTTTCTACTAATAAAAAATAGACTTGTTATGCTCGCCATTCTTCAGTGCTCAATAGGTGGAATGCCACTTTTACTGTCATACAAGAATTATTAAACCCAAGACTTCCAGTTTTGCATCGTAGCTACGCAGCCAAGGGATTAAGAGGCTCCACACCCCACAGCTGGTTTTGTCCTGCTAGGGGATCCTAAATGGGTCTAAAGTCACCCCGGAGAGGCAATGAAGAAGGGGAGGCCCCCCGTTAATCACAGAAAGATGGTGGTCGATCCGTTTCATCAGGGGGAAGCCCTTCAAACCAACAGGAGAAAGGCTAGCTGCACTCCGGTGACTAGCCAAAGCTACTGGCATCCGAAGTCCAAAAGCACCAACTAAGAACAACTTTGAACAGTGTGTTTGGAACTGGGTGAGAATATTGATCTTCTCGTCTCTAATTTGAAACTGATTTCCTGGAAAAGATTTCCAAGAAGCAAAAAATCTTCTAAAAGTGAGAAGGAAGGGGATTATAACCGCTCTCTTCCATAGATGAAAGCAGTAATTTAATTTTCATGGGAGACAGAAATATATTGAGATGGATTAATGTAAAACTATAATATGGATAAAACTGAAAATTATGGAAATTAAGATTTTCCATTTGAAAGAACATTGCTGAAAATACAAGAAAATAATATTTTCGTTACTGGGTTGTTTTTAAGTGGTTGAATATTTTGGACTGCAACCTTGGCTAGTTGATAATTGTAGGATCCCTGAGCAGACAAACTGTTATAAAATATAGGTGTTAGTGATGGATTGACAACTGGAAACGCATTGGACTATAAAGACTATACATAAAGATAAGAATTATGTAAGACTTTGGTGTTTGGAACTTAAGAGTGGTTGGTTTGAGGTTGCATACCCAACCAAAGGTGGCAGGAAACCACACTCAATATTATTTTCTAAAATCCCCAGTCTGGTATATCAGAGATCTGCAGGAGTAATACTTCAAGACAAGAAGTAGGAAATGCATGTTATGTTGCAATTAATTCAAATGACAATTGTTTCAAATCATGATGAGATTAAAAATAATTTTGATGATATAAATGAGCATATCCTTGACCTAAACTCACAATTTAAAAAACTCTCAGAAAATGCTGGCAAAGAATAAACAAGTAAATCAAGCAATAAAACAAAAACCAGAGGAAAGTGATCCAAAGACAGAGGCTATAAACGAAGAAAATCACAGCTTAATACAGACAAAGAAAAACCTGCAAAACTCTGCTATAATATTGGAAATGAAAAAGACATTCTATTTTTCAAGACTTCAAAACAAATCTGAGATAAGAAAGAAGTTCTGATGAAATGGATTATAGAGCTGTCAGAAAACCTAGAGTTTGGGAGACAAAAATGAAAAGAGAAATTGAGGGAGAAGTAAAATAGACGCTTCCTAATGAATATACATGGACAAAACTCCCCCTCAAAAGTGCTTCACTCAATTTGTCCTTCCCATTCTTAACAACACTCATAAAAATATAGGAAGAATCCCCTGGCAAACTGAACACACTGATTCGGAAAGCTGCTTGGCAAAAGAAGAATGTGAGAGCCAGACCCAAGAGAGATGATTTGACCTACCAGAAGGAGTACTACATGACTAAACATCTGTTTGAATATGGTTAAAAGAATAGTTAAATTTTGGATATGAATGGGTTCTATAATAAGAGAGATTTGACTTATAAGTAATATAGCATTTTCTTGTGATATGGGAAATGTAAAAATATTGGGATGATTTAAATGAACAAAATGTTTTGGATACTTAAATTAATCAATTTTGAGAAAATTATAACTGACAAGAAATGTACTGACCACTGAGGGGAAATTAAGATTAAATAAGAATAGTCAAGAGCCAGATTTAAGAGAGATGATTTGACCTACTAGATCAGTGGTTGCGAACCTATAGCACGCATGACAGAGGTGGCATGTGGAGCCCTCTCTGTTGGCATGCACCATAGCACACGTGGTCTCTAAAAGTTCACCATCACTGGCCTGCCAGCTTGAAGCCACCATTGAGGAGATGCCCCCTCCCCCCACAGCAGTGCAGCCGTGTCTTGCTTACGGGCGGACAGGGCAGGGCCTTGCGGAGGAGGAGGAGGAAGAGCTTGTCCCTCTGTGATAAACTGCAGCTGCGCTTGGCGGGCAACCTGTAGGAGCCTGACCCCATCGGCTGGCCATGTGGTTGCTGTTCACCCTGCTGCGCCTGCTGCTCCCGCCGTCCTCCAGTGGGTCTTCTCCTTCTTGGTGCTGGGTAAGGATGGGACATGCTGGCGGCAGCAAACTTGGCTGTGTCCCAGCTGCAGGAGAGGAAGCGCTGGCCAGTGATAATGGCCAATGTGGGGCAATGGGCTGATGGTTACAAAGGGAGTCTGAGATGAGGGCGGGAAGGCAGTTATGGTGCCCAGCTTGGCTCTTATTGGTGGCAGCTTGCTTTGCTTCATGTGGGGCTGCATCCCCAAACCCCGACTGCTCCAGCCCTCTCAGCTGGGGCTGTCTGCAGGCGGGAGCAGCCGGAGCAGCGGGCTCCTAAGCATATTCACAGTGCCACAGCTGCCACTGCTTGAGGTCTGTCAAGGTGGAGGAGAGGGTCACCCGCTGCTTCTCTCGTAGCCAGGTGCTGCCTGGGGCTTTATCTGGTGGTGTTGCTCAGGGACGGCTAGCTGTTTGGATATGGTTAAGAGAATAGTTATATTTTGGATATGAATGGGTTTTATAGTAAGACAGATAGGATTTATAAGTAGTATAGTATTTTTTATGATATGGGAAATATAAAAATATTGGGTTGATTTAAGTGAATGAAATGTTTTGGATATTTAAACATAATCAGTTTTGAGAAAATTATAACTGACAAGAATTGTTTTGAATACTGAGGGGAAATTAAGCTTAAATAAGAATTCTGAAAACAGGACCTATAGTGATTTACATAAGATGATTTTTTGCAAATGCAACTATAATATAAGCTGATTAGAAAAGATGCTACATACTGATGTTATTGTTATTCACACAAATATTAGAAAAATGTTTATATTCAATTTTGTATTAAAAGTACTAAGAACTATATTTGCTCAAGGTTAGTAAAAGGAGAACACTATTGGAAGAAGAGAAGATCAAGGAAATGTATTCCTAGTTAGTATGTTGATTATGAAATCATAGAAATTAATTATTATTGATTATTGTTAAATATATGAATTCAGACAACACAAGATTGTTATTTCCCAAAAAAATCAATAAAATATATTTTTAAAAAAAAGAATTATTAAACCCCAGACCTGTCATCTTTAATTGGTATGTGTTGGCTGGAATGTGTCTCCTTCCCAATATACTGTAAGAGTGAGCTCACTTCTCCTGAGACATTTGTCTATCTCTTCCTCATCACCTTTGATTTCCAAACATTTGTCCTACCTGTGTTCCTAAGCAGAGTGTGATATTTTAGCCCAGCATAAAAGAAATTTGCTCCATCGCAAATCCAAAAATGGCAGCTTCCCATCCAATTGACCCTGAACAACATAATTTGAGTTCCTGGAGCCCAGCTAATATTCTTATGGAACAGAAGAACTGTAATTAAAGCTGCTGAGAGAAAGTGCATCAGGAACTGACTAGCAAGTAAATAAGTCATCAATAGACTGGCAGAAAGAAAAAGAGAAGTCATAGTACTGCTGCCTAAAATATATAAAGCCATCAGTTCAGAGAGTGAACATGGCTTCAAAATCCATTAATCATTAGATTGTTAAGCCAATCAACAAAAGAAAACACTAGGCTGGATTTTTATTCACTAATTATTATGCTTATATGACATCACATATCGATACTAGTTTCTGAGAGCTTAAGTAAGTTAGAAAAATAGAGCTTGTGCTATACGTTTTTAAATCAGGCTTTTGAATCAAGCAAAACAAAAATATTAGTATCAAATATATAAGAAATCAGAATGTCCTCATATTTGAAATGAACTGTAAGTAAATTTAATATTGATGAGTAAATGTGCAGAGACTTAATAGAAATTACTTTTTTTTTTGAGATGTGGTTTTCTTTGATTTCCCCAGATTTTTCAAGGTTGTGGAAATCCCAAACTCAGTGCAAAAGCTGCCAATGTTGAAGATAAGAAGAGACGTGGAAAATATGTCCTTGAAGATAAATCTTCTGGGCTTAGTTCAGATAAATTTGTGAGTATAGAGGGTTTGTTTATTTAATTCTGCACTAGAACTGCTTGTATAACCTGTTAATCAAAATGCTCATAAATATGTTCATTATGTGAAGGAATACATATAAGCACCATTTAGTTTCAGTGTGGAGCTTTTATTTCATTGGAAGAATACACATCAGTGATCTGTAAAAATTAAAGTCAATTTAGCCAATCACCAAAATACACTTTTTAAATATACCAAATCCTTAACAGTCCTGCTTACCAATATAAGGATTTATTTTTCACATATTTAGACTCTCAGCAAGTAAAAATATTTCTATCTCATCTAGTAATCATGGGCATCTCAGACACATAGAAGACATACTTTACAATAACAATAAATTGCACTGTTATATCATGTATTTTAGAGATGTGCAAATCTCTAAAATTTTGCAATATACGGTAGGTTGTAATAATTACAAGGAGACCATAATAAATGATTTACTTGATGTGCTTCTGAGCCAGTACCTGTTTATTCTGATAGCTGCTGAGCTAGGGCTGGAAAAGGAGGGAAGATGCTGAAAGTTTGAGACAGAAGGAGCAAGGGATAGGATGTATTAGAATATGGTAGCAGCAAACAGGAGGGAAGATCACTGAGGACTGACCTACACATCATGTAAAGAAGGCAATAGTAGTACCATATGTTTGTTTCTAAAGGAAAGGAGAAAGAGACACCAGCCTTACTGTACTCCCTGTATAAAATCATCCTGGGATTCTTTTGCGGTTCAGCTAAACCACAGCTATTCTGGAACACTCTGAAAGAACATATTATGTTTGTAAAATGCAGACAGCTGATGGATTGAGTCTCCCCGGATCTTATCCAAGATCTAAACACTGCTAGCATTGGCAGCAAAATTCCTCTGATTATTAACATAAGATTCAGATCAGGTATATGTGATCTGCAGAAAGAAAGATACATAAATAGACTTTCTAAACTGAAAATTATTGCCTCAATGTGCAAGGAAAGTGTCTTAACTGTAAATATTTTAGTTTGGAGTAGCCAGTTTATTTTCCTTAATAGTGTCTTGAAACATAGCCTTTCTCCTGCTTTTGTTTTGGGATGTCTTTCAATAGCATCCAAAGTTCCATTTCCCTTGCTAGCCTTTATACTAGACTAAAGAATTCTCATAATCAGCTATATTCTTCAAAAGAAACAATGAAGCATATTTTCTCATTTGCTTTATTTAATTATCAGATTTGTTATTCTCTTTTCATTATTATTGTATGAATCCAAAGCAGGTACAAACTAGACATAAAATCATAAAATATGAAGTCTTCATCAGATATAAAAAGTTATCTTAGAATATTGTCCCTGAAAATTTGAGCTGTTAAAAGTTTCTTGGTCTGTATTTAATACTTATATATTCCCAGAGCTATATTTTCTTGTTTTGCCACCTATAATTTTTTTTGCTATCTTATTCCCATTCTTACATTTCTCAGTCAGAGCAAAAATCTGATCTATACATGCCCACCCTGGCAAAAAACCATAATGGTCTTCCAAATTTTGCTGCCTGTCATCTCTTGTATCCTTTTTGTCCCAATTCTTGCAAAATATCTTTCCAGCCACACGTAAACTAATCTTCCCGTAACATTTGCCTTTTTTTCTTGTGACTTACCTTTGTAAAAAGGAAGAAAATAGCATTCTTTCAAGACTCAGATGCGCAATCTTCACCCATTTAAAAAAAATCACACAACCATATTCATAAGCAAACTACATCCTTTACCATTTATACATACAACCTTATCATTTTCCAAATTTCTTGAAGCATTCCAAGCTTCTGTTTCATTCATTTTTTCTTCATACAAACAAATATAGCATCCATTCTTCAGAACATCCCTATCTTTCCCATATAAAATTCAAAAATGCTGCCTCCAGTGATCCTTGAGTTCAGTTTCCTTCTAAAACATCTTATCACTTTTATTTTTAATTGCATTCATTTCATCTGTTTCCTAATACTTTTTCCTGTAGGACTCATATTTTCTCTTCCTGCAGTTATCCTACTTCAACAGTTGTTTCTTTGATTTCTTTCTTGCATTTTCGTGGCCATTTCATGTCCTTCTGTTACTCTCATCTCCTTCATCCTTCGTCTTTCTTAGTTTCACAGTTATAATACGTAGCTATTATTTTCATTTCATTTCTTAATATAGTTCCTTTATCATTTACTCCTCCTCCATGTCACAATCTATTTGCCATTGTTTTCATTTCACCACAGATATTGATCTCTGACACCCATTATGGTTTTGGACAATCAAGGCTTTCAAATAACACTTTTTAATAAAATAGATGAGATGTAGACTGGTTTACTAGCCTTTGTGGTTTCCATGCCATGTGTAGTATTCCCAGCTAATGATAAGAGTAATATTGATCAGTTGGGACAGTATGTGATAACTATAACCAAAAATTAATTTTATCTCAAGCACAGCCATACCATTTTATGCAAGCAGCATTTCTAAGCTAGCGATTTCCTTACAAGCCAACTTATTATATAGTGATACTCAGGATATGATAAAATATCCTTTATCTTTAATTGTTGTTATATACTAAAATAGATAACACTTCAGGGTAGTCACTGCAGTCTTATTTTGTTTTTAGTCACATTACAATTGAATGCTCTTGGAATGAATTCTCATAATGCATAATGCACTTAGAATATAAAGCTGTTGATGTTAAAATGTTTTGTCCAACCTTAATTACTCTTCCTAATGACAGGTTTCAGATGCCAAAGGGAAGCTGAGGGAAGTAAGAGACTTCTGGGCTCTTTTGCCAACGACACTTTGCAATGAAAAAATATCATCTGGTTCTGTAAATGAGGATAGATGCTGGAACGGAATGACCAAAGGCAGGTAAGGGTAATCAGCTGTGCAATAATGAGACCGTGTTACTATCCCATCTGTGCTTCAAAATGTTTAGGCAATGCATAACAAATAAATATTTGAAATTTCCTTTTGTATTGTATTGCTGTGTTTCAAATGTATTGATACACAACAATAATTTTTTTCCATCTTTTTAAAGATGTAAAACATATTAAAACAGTGCATAAAATGTCTAATATTTGAAAATATTTGGCAACTTTTGGAAAATTGTTAATGAAAAAATTGAGATGGGTCACCTTTTCACATAAGTTATAGGGTATGACATAGTCACCAGAAGGTATTGATTATTCTTTAGTTCCAACTAAACAGGCCTTGGAGATTGTTGGGGTGTATAAGAGGGGCATCAGAATTGACTGACATACGAAGGTAAGTTGATATAGGGAAGGAACTCCTCAAATAACCATCTCAAAAACTATTCAGTGTTTTAGGGCTTATCAGAAGCAATTGTACCAAGCCAAACCACACTGGTAAACTCATACTGTCATCTGCCATTTTTATGAAGTTTTAGAGCTTGGAAAAATGAAATGCTATTACAGAGGTGGATAGGAAAGAAATCAGATGAGATGAGAATGTTATAATTCATTGAGGTCCCATCTTTTTCTTTATTTACACAAGATCCATGCAAGGTTCAGCAGGTGAAGCTCAAAAGAGAAGACTGGTGTAAAAAGGCTTAGGCAACTATCCACAACATTCACCTGATATTATACTTCCATTTCCCTAGGTCAGTGGTTCTCAACCTTTTCTTCACTATGGACCCCTTTAAATGCCACTAAGACTCAAGATTTAAATTGTAACATGCCCTCATGCCTTTGTGGACCCCCTGTGATGACATCACACCCTCCCATGGGTCTGTGGAACACAGGCTGAGAACCAGTGACCTAGGTCATTATAACTGCCCTTGAGAGTCTTCTAGGAAGGCTGCTGTCTAAACACTAAAATAAATTTGGCATTTATGAGAAGAGGAAGCCCAGTATCACAGCTATCAACTTGTCGGAACAGTGGAGGAATTTGTGACCTCTCACAAATTTGGTATCTCCCCTGAAAAGCTAATTCACTTTTAGAACTGAGCTCTCTGTCCTCCACGGACAAGTTTTCCACAGGCTCCAATATTTTCACTACATTACTGGGCTGAAGCCAAAAAAGCATCAAGCAGAGGTTCATAATTCATGTCTAAAGGATCATTGACTTGATTCATGAAATACAAAGATGAGATAGTGACTAAAACAATTAATTTTCATTTTCTTCTGTTCTTATTGCTCTATTGTCTCTCTTCTTTTGCTATTTTTCCTTGATAACCAGCTAGTAGGTAACAATAAGAAAAGAAAATGGGAAATAAAAAAAATTAAAAAAGAGTTGGTTAGGCTCCCACTCACCCAGTGAGTTCAGTTGGATCCCCATGAAGTCTAGTTCTCCAGAATTAGCTTTCAGCATGAACCTATACATTCTCTTTACAGATACCTTCCAGATGTGATGGGAGATGGTCTAGCTAATCAGATCAATAACCCAGAGGTTGAGGTCGACATCACCAAACCAGACATGACTATTCGCCAGCAAATCATGCAGTTGAAGATTATGACAAATCGATTGCGCAATGCATACAATGGAAATGATGTGGATTTCCAGGATACAAGTAGGTACAAGCTAAGAAAGTGGGATTATTCATAACATTTCATGTTCAATAAGCAAAGGACAGGTTCATAAATTGTGATACAGTGTTCAGAGCAGTGGAAAATTATCCCTCTGTTAATTTTCAATGGCTAGATTTTTAATCTGGATGAAGACATTGCCCAAGTGTTAAAAACATTAATGTTTATTGATAATCAGAATGCTTTTATTCTTCTCTGGCGTGCTGACTTACTATAGATATCCCCAAAAATGCATGTATCCACAATTCTCATACACTAATCAAAGTCAAGTGAGTGAGTGAGTGAGTGAGTGAGTGAGTGAGTGAGTGAGTGAGTGACAGTTCAGGCCATTATATAATGGATAATGAAAGTCCAGTGAATTATCCAGATTAATATGTAAAATAAATTCTGCCTCAAATGGAGCCCTATAGCAAAGAATTCTTATAATTTCAGAGGAAGAGAATATATATAGCTCAGGGTGAACTTAGAGTCTTCAATGTTCTTTGAGCTTGTTTGTTTGTTAGCAGACATTTGCAGACATATCAGTCAGGTTATGAAACATCTGCAAGCAAACAATCAAACTAGGAGACATAAAGACATAAAGTACTCCAAAATTGTAAGGCCTGAAAAATCAGGTCCACATATGAAGGTTCAATTAAATTGATTTATTGCTAAAACCTATGCACAGGAATCTTCTGAACTAATGGTCAACACCTGGTTAGAGTTAGATAAGGGCCAGAGGCACTCAAGGGGGCAGCAGGTTAGTTAGTTTGAGGCTATGTAACAATTCTAGGCTGATCCCCCTTTGCATTTCATCCCCAGGTTCTGTCATTCCTTCTACATTAATTCTTATAATTGATTTAAGAATAATTCTTAAAATTAATACTCCTACTGCAAGACTAATTGTAATTCTTTACTAATTCAAGATTCCCAAGCATTTTGGACCGGTAGGTAGATCTGAAGCTTGAAGAATATATCGTAGCATGTGTTTCAAAATTGCTACATTGCAGGGTATAGCAATTGTCTTGATAGGCATAAGTCAGTCATGAAATACTCATTTCCTAGGCAGAATAATTAGGTTGCTCCCCACCCTTCCCTGCGTCCTCCATGATGTTTCAGTTTTCCATTTGGTTCTGAGGAGATTAGCATACTTCCAAGGACATGTACTGGGATGTAGTATTTACCATTATAGCCCCCCATGATTGTTAAATTCTAGGACTAGCCAGGAAGTCAATCTAGGACCCACTAACATTTTTAAAAGGATATAATATACTAGAGATTAATCTAATTCTGCTTTTCTGCATTCTGCATGACAGGCAGTTGCAGATTAACTTCTACCAAAAACATATTGGCTACAATTCAGCCTTTTGAAAAAGTACCATACTAATTTGATTTTTGTCTTGGCCAGGTGATGACAACAGTGGTTCTGGAAGTGGTGATACCTGCCTGGATGAAGTCTGTGGCAAAAGACTGCCCAAGAATTCTAGCACCCGGCCACCAGAAATACATCCTATGCCTAAACAGTCAGGACAAGGCGTTGGTGGAAATAACAGCAATGTACTTTTGCCTTCATACTTCCTTTTATTACTTTCTTTGGCTGCTATAGCAGCCCAGTACCTGTGGCGGTAACTTGTTTGAGCAGCTGCAAAAGAAACTGTAGTGGCTAAGTCTTAACTTTGCCAAAATGGTGGACATATTTAATTCAACTTGATTCAACTTGGCAAAATGAGAGAGAGAGACAAAAATTCTTTATGGTTTGTGATAATCTGGCAGTGCTAGAGTTGGTTATTTTTCCTTTTCTTCCTTCTTTTCTTTCAAATATTGGGCCTTTCCTTCTGTCCTCCATTTAAACAAGCCTTTAATTTGCCAAAAAGAGATACCTAGGGGCTATGACAGGTAGGTTTAATGAACAGAAGAAATAACCCCCCAAGGCAACACCATTTTCATTGATTGGAATAAAATATGCAATATCTCATATTTTTATTTAACTGTGGCCAAGAGTGCATTATATTTGATTCAAAACAATACATCTCTTTAATTTATACATTTTCAGACTGCTCTAAAAGGGTTTTAGCTCAGCTCATAATTTTCTATTCACCAAAGGGAAAAGAATCTTTCCTTTGCATGGATGTAAGAGTATTATTTTGTATGATTTCAGTTAACAAAGGAATTCTTTATCCCAGAGTTTGGAATGAAGATCCTTAAGTTTTTTTTTCTAAAAGTAATCATTGTACCCACTAATATTATTCCCACATCCATGGGAATAGCAGTAAAAGATTAGTGTATTGCAGGATCCTGTGAAAATAGCTTTCAAACAATAATAATGTGGAACAGTGTACACAACATTGTGGTATAAAGAAAGACATGGGAGGATGTCATTCTAGAATGAGCTAGAGCAATGGTTCTCAACCTGTGGGTCGGGACCCCATTTGGGGTCGAACGACCATTTCACGGGGGTCACCAAACAACACAGTCCGCTATTTTTTTCCCCCTTTTCCTTAACTGTGCTACTTCCTTTTATTCTATTGGCTTTTGAAAGCCAATAGAATAGACTCTCTTGAATAGAGTCTAATTCTATTGGCTTTCAAAAGCCAATAGGAATTGTCCAGGCTGTCTCTGCCCTGCTGAGCCCGCCAAAAGTCCCATTCTGCAAACGGTGCTGCACCAGTTGAGTAGTCCTCGACTTATGACCGGTTGAGTAGTCCTCGACTTACGACCGGTTGGGGGTCGCGGCATTAAAAAGGTTGAGAACCACAGAGCTAGAGGAAGAAAAACTTCCTATTATGAATAATATGACAAGAATCAATATTTACCAAAAGAATAATACAAAAAATGTGTTTTCATGTGTGTGTATTATTACTTATCCTATAATTAAAACTAGAATTTGCATGAATTGATGAACTTAGGGCCAAGTTAGATACTGTCAAATATATCTAGAAATTTGTTTATCAAAATCTCTACTACCTGAAATTTTCAAGAAAACCTCTCAGAATTATGTTGGTGGAATGAGTAAGCAGACCAAAACTATCCATATATTGGTTTAATTAACGGTGGCTATCAGAGTGAGATGTCCAATCAGTTTTACACCAATGTGTATCTATGTGTATATTATATCAAACCAACCCTACCATTTTGACTGAATAATAGGAAGACCTTGAAATGAACTTTAATGTTAATTTACTTTATTTCATATCATAGTTTCTTTGAGAAGCAAGTGATGTGAAAGCATAACTTTTATTTAAAATACATGGGCTTTTCATAAATGCTGAAATGTTTCTATTCTTTGTCTTAAAGCAAAAAAAATTATTTTCTCCGGACAGCAGTCAGAGCTAGAAACTATTATCAATTCTGAAACATTCCATTTCTAGCATCTTAGCATTCAATAGGATGAAACAGAGAGTAGAAGCAAATGAATTCAGTTGAAGGATTCTGGTTCTATTTTGTTGATTACTGGGAAAAATTAGTTCTTTAATCAACCCATTCAGTATTGAAGGGTCTCCGAGATTTGAAAACTTAATTAACAAACAGCAATGCCAGAAGGAATTCTTTGTAGAAAAATACACCTAGTTTGGTATACATTGTTTAAATCCTTGTGAGTAAAACAGTACTCCCTTCCACTTTCATTACTGATTTGGTCTATTTAATACGTTTTTTATTTTCAGTTACACCATTCTTAAAATGAATGTATTCGTAAAGAGAATACAAACGAGGCGTGGAAATCAAATATCCTGCCTTCTTTGAACATGCTTGAATGCAAAAGAAAGTGGAAAGTGCCACATTGAATTAGTGTTGTAAATGTATGTCTGTAAAATACACAAAGAAATAAACTGCTATACATCATGTAGGGGAAAAAATATTTGCCATTTCCTTCTCTGAATGAAAATCTGCCAACTTGCTGGAGAGCTGTAAACTCAAAACAGTTTGGAACCTTTTCTAAAACTCAAACGATGTGTGATGTTGACAATGTATTGTATTTTAGAAGCCCGAAGCCTCCCTGAATCTAAAAAAAAGGAATATGACAAAAAATTGAGGTGCAAAGTTGAAGGACTGTTCATGCTTTAAAAATGATTTTCAAGGAGTCTTTGTGATATGTGGGAACATGAATACAATACCTCTTTAAGATAGCTGCATCATTTTTCAGGCTTTCCTATTAACTCGATAAAGCACAACTGTTTTAATTAGTTACATTAGAGTTGCACATTAGCATTACTTTAACAGGATAATTCATTAAAACAGCTAGAAGCATGAAAAAAAGACTGCCACTTTGAAGTTGTGCTGCACATATTCCCACACATTCTGAAGCACCTTTTTAAAATCATTGAAGGACACCCAACCCTGGAAAAGAGCAGAATGGACATGGGGATGTACATCCTTCTTCACTAGCTGAAAGATCAAATGAAATTAAATTACGGACAGCAAGAAAAAGGAGTATCCTGCCTTGCATATCCTTTATGCTCTTCAATCTAGCATCATTTTCTGCTTAATATAAAATTGGAGAGCCTGATTTAAATGAGTCTTCCACCATTGCCCATCATTTGAGCCCCAGTCTTCGGTCATAGCATCGTATTTTTTAAGGTTTATTTTTGTTATGGCAGTGCTACATTTTGGTATTAAAAGCATTATGCTACAAGGTGTGATCTGTTTCAAGTCCCTTGAAATAGAAATGAGTCATGGATGTATTTTTTCATGTGCCATAATGTCTGTTTCAGAAGGAGAAAAGGGTCAACAGAAGGTTTAAGAGCATTGCTATTTATCCTTTCAATGACAAAAACCTGTTTTTTTCTGGTGGGCTTGTTAAGGAGTTAAGATACAAATAAATCCAGACTATATCTTGGCTTTTAAAAAAGCAAAACAAGTGCAGTTCCATCTGCAAAATGTAAGACTTATTTCACATTATCAACAATCTTGATCATTTATATATATATATTTCTTTTGGTTACCAAGTTACTTGTAACTACCTTGCACTGTTGAATTATGATCTTTGAATTCTTGTATAAATAAAAAAAGACTGGAGACTTAAATAAGTATGAATACCATTTGGAACAGGATGCTGTATTCTTTTGCTTTATAGAATTTCAACAGTAATACTGCAGGTCACCAACTGGCTTCATGAAAACCAGAGTATGCGTTAGATCACTCATAATAATAGCATAGAAAAGTGTTTTGCCCAGTGTGGTGAAATTCCATCCCCAACCAATCAGCGTAACTATTCCACAGATGTCTATCGTATCTGAAAGAAATGGCATGAAGTTTATTCAGAAATAAGGCCAAGTAAAATTTAGAATTGCAGGGACAATGTAAATACTTGGAGGCAAGAATGAATCACTTGTTCTATGGGTCTACTGTATGTGATGCCCCCAGTTTCTGCAAATGGTATGGTTTGCTCTGTGGAAAACAATCTTTTATTGCAATGAATTACATACTTTGCCAGCTACTTGTGATAGAACTGTGGTTTTACCTTCAACAGATACCAAGCATTACTAAATAATGCACCTGCCAGAAAAGTCTGAGTCGTGGAACACTCATTGTGTATCAATAACTAAAAAGTAGCCATTGTTGAACCAATCTCTGGAAATGAAAATCACCGTTCTTTGGGAGGGACTGTTTACCTGGGAATACAACCTAAATAGGTTTACAGACATTTGACTCCTCTGTCTGGATGTATTCCTAGCTCCCCCCCCCCCTTATAAGGAATAGATATCATTCAAGAAACTCACTTCTAAGTAATTATACATATAAGTGCCATGTTATAAAAACATAAAATATTTTATTTATATTCACAACTAAAATAAGAAAACATGTTTTAGAAATAATTCAGTTGTTTAATATTTGAAATATATTACAGCAGAGGCACAGCAATAGGATACTTCAGTGTTGTTAACAACATCAGTAGCCTTAAGTGAGACAACTGCTAGCATTTTTTTCACCCTCAATTACAAGTACCGACACCACTAAATTCTACCCCAATTTTCACTGACTACAATAGGATCTATAATTGAAAAGATCACTAATAAATATTTCACTACCAGGCCTACGGGGATCACATATAAAAACAATAGTTTTCATTTAATAATACTGTACGTTTTCAACTAAGCTTCAGTTAAAATAAGATTGTGCTATTTTATTACTCTGAAAAGAAGCTTTTAATCATGAATTCTACTAATTTAATGCTGCAAATAAGATTTCAAGAATAGGGTGTTAAAATCACCACTCACAGATGACTGAGAGCTGGGTGTGTCTCAGAGCTTGTGACCAGCTTTGTTTCTGTCAACTGAACAGATGAAACAATTGCTTCGGTTCTCTACTCATACATTTTTAAAATAAAAACTGATTCTCCCTGCTTTTTGAAATTCCTGGAACAACAATGACAAAGATACATACATTTATGTTTGTACTAGAACCATCAACTGCTTGGCAAAAATTACATTGTTGTGGAAACTAAGCAACACATCAAGTTAAACAATTATGAGGGTTAATATTACCCATCAGGTGAGGAATTTGAAAGACCCGATAATGACAGAAATGTCTGTGCATCACCAGAAGAGTCATTCTATCTTCCCAAGTTAAAGTGCAGTAAACATTACTAGATTCTTTAAAAAATAATAATGCCATATTTATTGAAAAGAACAGTCTTTGGAAGAATATGGGCACTTCACTACTACATCCATAAATGAAAATACCAGCATTTATTTAAACTGGTTCCCCAAAATAACACAAAAATACACTATTTCTTAATTTGCCTTAAAAACAAGTCTTTTTGTATCCTTCCTTATGCAACATTTTGAACATCAAATTTACCAGACCTGCATCATGAAAAATAACATCTAAATGAAACTATAGTTCCCAGTGTAAGGGAGATCTGCTTGACTGCTAGCCTGCACAGGGGTTCGTCGTCTTCTATCGTATTTCCATTTTTCTATGTCTTCCTTTTTATGCTTGGCTACTATCTGTTTCTTTGCTTTAGTGTCCTTTGATTTTACAGATTGAAGAGTCACTTTTGTTTTAATGCTGGCTTTACGTTGTCGCACTGCCAGAAAGAACAGATAGACAATTAGCATTTTTAAAGCAGATTATAATAGTTATTTAATTATATTTCTAAGCACATATGCACCAAATTAGAAAAACTTATTCAGTGCACATTGAGAAAAATAAATCGTGCCTTCCTCTCATCCCCACTGTAGATTATACAGCTGAGTTATAAACTCATCCAAGTTTCAATAACCTCCATTTATAATAAGCAGTCAAAGTGCCTCCTGGTGGTCACTATAACAGGCACAGGCTGTCCTTTATGAGCTGATTTGATCTCACAACCGTGGAAGACAAGGTTGATATAATTGTCCAAGTCCTGTGGGTGGGTTAATCTTCAGCTGTCTCTTTACCTGGCCAATCTGTCTTCAACAGAATTTCTTTCCCTATAATACTCACCACCCCCATTCAACTTTCTCTTACCCAAACATACATACATACATTGCATTTATATCCCCCATATAGTCTTAATTGTCGCCTGGAAATTTAAGATCATCCCTTAATCATAAACACTTCCTCTTTAGAAGTCCATGAAGAAAAAGATAAATGGAAAACAAAAAATTATCAAACATATTTCAAAATTCTAGGAAAGCCCTCAATACAAAACAAGTCTTTTCATAGCTGCTGTTTTATTGGAGAGCAATAAGGCTAGGGAAGAAAAGCTAGGAAAGAAACAATAAAAAAGGCACAACGCAGATATGTGTACAAACAAAGCAGTCAGCATGACATGCTGACAGAATTAACTTCTTTATGACTGCTGCTAAAACATGTAGTATGGGCAGGATAATCTGAACAGCTGGCTAATTTTGGAAAATACAGGCTAAATCTTCACCATCCCTTTGATACAATCTACCACTTAGCAGACTTTACTGCATCTATAAATGTGTTCTACTTACGTTTATAATTTTCAAGTCAGCTTACAACATACACTATGAAGCATTAGTAAACATTTCACTTATTTGGAATATGGAATATCAAAATCTGACATAGCTTTGAAACCAACAGTAATAATAAGCAGTACTAGAGTATTAACGCAAACATCCTATGTATTCAGTTTAAACGCAGTTTATAAAGGAATCAAAGGATGGGATCATTTTAGAAATAATATACTGGAATTTCATACCATTCCAATTAGAGGGGGAAAAAAGGATGGGCAGCTTAGGTAACAGTTGTAGATGCACAGGGAGCTTCTGAATTAAAAATACATGTATAGGAAATGGAAAATAGGTACAGTATAATCACTATGGAAGAAATAAAAAATATCTGTAAAAATAAAGAAAGGCTACATCTGAGTTTCAAAGAAGCTAACAGATGTCATTTCTGATCTTCGAGAAATCATTGACATAATACAGGACCAGAGATGGACAAATTCTCTTCAAAAAAAGATAGTAAGAGATGGATAATTACTGATCAGTCAGCAAAACTCTGGAACTGTTGATTAAGCACTCGATGAGTATTTAAAAAGAATACATTAGCTAGCAAGAGGTATGGTAGGTTTATCAACAATAAATCACCACAAACCTGATATTTACTCTTCTAATAAAGAGAACAGTTTAATTGACCACAGAATAGTGAATATTAACTTGATGTTTGATGAAGTCTCTAATAAAATTCTAGTCAAGACCATGGCAGTATGCAGATGCTTGAACAACTATACCCCCCAAGTATACATGATTCTGTGTCAGAACTAGAAGCTTGGGTGCAACACCACTGGACTTTGCTTTAGGCCTTTTCCTGCTCAACATGGAATAGAATAGAATAGAATAGAATAGAATAGAATAGAATAGAATAGAATAGCTGGAAGGGACCTTGGAGGTCTTCTAGTCCAGCCCCTCACTCAAGCAGGAGAAAAATAAAGCATTACAACAAGCATTACAACATTACAGTAATGTTAATTGACTTGGATGAGTGATCATGTTGTATGATTATCACTTTTGCAGATAACACAAATGTAGAGGGGAAGGAATTACAAACTTCTTAAAAGACAGCATGAAGATCAAGATTCAGGAAGATCTTGACAAGTTGAAACTACAATCCTGTATCTGGCTGAGAAAAATCCAAGCCATTTGTATATGATGGAGACTACAATCCTGGGCAACCTATGTGCAAAAATAATTAGGGTGTCTTGGTGGATCACATGGCAAACATATGATGCAACTACAAAAAAAACCAAATGCAATCTAGATCTCATTAATAGAAATATGACAAGAAAATCCTTGCTCCTGTCTAATCAGAACTGATCATATTATAGCTAGAAACTGTCCAGCAAGTATTTTAGGAAGGACAATAATAAATTTGATAGTGTCCAGAAAAATCACATGGTTAATATATTCTGGAAGAAAATATTTATGAAGCACTGAATAAGTTCTATTTAGAGAAAAGATAAATGTGATGTGATAGTTATGTCTCTGAAAACCTGGATCTTTCCCCAGGCCTTGAGTTGGGCTACGTGGCAAGTCTCTTATAGGATTGCATATGCTAGTCTGAATAATTTATCTTATGGATGTACATCATTCTTTTCTTTCTTTTATTGCTCTTATTGTTATTTTTGTGTTGTACACAGGCTAAGAACCAATGTGTTTAAATTACTAAAGATTTTAATTGGACAACAGAAAGGTAAGAGTCAATGGAAGCAATTACTTTGCGAGGTGGGGAACTCTACTTCAATGGAAATATTTAAACGATGTATGGCCATCTCTTGGATATGTTGCAGCAATGGCTTCTGAACACAGGGTTGAACTAGATGATTACCAAGATCCCTTTCAACCCTATGTTCTAACACTCTGCATGAAACAGTAGTACTATGTAAAACAAAACCAAATGTGATTAATGAAAGAGGTTGGTAATGGGAATTTACTTACCCTCCCTAACAGGTGGGACTTCTTCTTCAGACTTAGGTGGAGATGTACTCTCTTTTGCATCAATAAAATAAGTTGGAAAGACATTTCAGAATGCTCAATAGTATAAAATAAGGTTATGTATGCCTCAAAGAACCTGTATTTCTGTGGTATATTAAAATCCAATGTGATTTATTTTTTATTAAATTAAAAGCTACAAAAAATTCTGATTCTCTTAAATACATTCCTAAAGTACAGGGCAATATTTTCAAAATACATAACACAGTAAATATTATCTTAGACATTAGATTTGTTTATACATTAAAACATTTTCTGCAGTTACCTTAATCCACATGCACATGAACAATTTATTGTCTTAAAACTTCTTAATTCCAATTATATTATTCAAAAGCAAAAGTTAAAATAAAATAGATGTAAGGATAGTCTTAAAGAGACAGACTATTCCTTGGAAGTAAATATTTCTATAAACCAGTAACTGACTCAAGCCAGTAGCATCCTCAGTTGAGAGTATATATACAACAGCATAGTAGAGCTTTATTCATGCTGCTATAACTGCCATCTCAATTTTTCAGTGTTCTCTAGGATGTCACCTCATGTTTTTTTTAATATTGTCCTCTTGTGGGAAATCTATTTTTGTACATAAACATGAAGACAATATAGATATGTACTGCTATCAGTGTTCATGTGTCCAGGTTTTCAGGTTACTACATCACAGATAACTGAAAATTCTATATTGTACATTAACATCTACAGTCTTAAAATATTTACTTTTTAGTAATTTAAATTATTTGAATCATATTCCACTAAAATCGTTCAGGCATTCATATGATGAGATTTATGTCCTTATTGCCATTCTGAAGAAGCACCAGATAATACAGCTTCCAAGCCTTAGCTGATCTGAACTATGGAGATCTCACTGTACCAAACATGGTGAAAAAGATGAACCACTGTAAAAAAAAATGAGTTCAAATACATGCCTCAGCATGACAATATTGATTGATCAGACTATTAGTTCCAGAATTCTGTATAGTGAAATTATCAGCACTGAAGGAGGTGTAATACTGAAAGACAAAGTAATTATAGTAAATGCTTCTGAAGAAAGCTGTATAATCTCAATCTTCTCAATCTTTTGTATTAACTGCTTTCATCTGACTTTCTTCTGATAAGAACTAGGATGATAACCAAACTCTTATTTGATTTTCAGACTGTCTGATGCCAGCTTGATCCAATATTTTTGTAAGCAAATAGATTTTATCACAATCTGGAAAATTTAACATTAACCTCAGTATTAAACAACTTCCTTCCATAGAGTATGGAAACTTCATTAATATTGTAAATAGCACACTTATGTTCATTAGCCACTTCTTAGCAACTGGGAGGGGGAAATGGAGGAATGAAGATCTAGTTGAAAAAAACCCAATACAGAGGGATGCTCTGTAACTCCCTTTAGGGGACATATCAGTTTCCCACGTTGTGAGATGATACAAAATTTAGGCTTGATGTGACAAAATGGGAGAAAACAAGTACAAAACTGATAGAAATATGAATGAATGCCACATTTTTTTGGGTATTTACTCAATTTGAATCCCTTTAGCTATAGAGATACACAAACTTGCTTTGGTAGAACAAAATGGTCTAAAACTGATACAAAATGTTGGCCATAATTGTGGTCAACATCATTACATTATTAATAGGTTGCTCTATAGCTTGAAGAGAAGTCAGTGAGCCACATTGTGTAGTAATAGGCAAACTATATTTCAGAGGCAAAAATAATACAATAATGGTACAAACTTTAACATAGATTTTGAATAAATGAAGCAACACTGCTTTGGTAAAGTTTTCTTCTAAACTCCAATCTAAAATGTTGGTATCTTCTGGCCATGAGGGACATAAAACGTGGGGTTGGTTGAACAAAGTAGAACAAAACAGATACAAATTTTTGGAACAGGCTTTGTGTTGAAACCAAATTTGGAGTTTAGAGTTAGCTGCTACATTTTTTTATTCATACTAAAACATGGAACATCCAATGAAGCTTGAAGCTGAATTTTGTTGATTTGAAGAAGCAACAAGGAAATGCCTCACATAGCACAATTCATTACAAGATGTTGTGAAGGCTAGTAATTTGGTTGGCTCCAGAAAGGGGCTACACATTTTTTGCTGGCTTTATTCCTCTTTCACGGAATGAAGAAGATGAAATCCAGAGGGTGAAAAACTTGGGAGGAAGACTACAGTATTATATTCATGTCCTGCTCAAGTGCTTCCCAGTCATACCTGATTGATCACTGTGGAACTAATCCTTTGCTTTCCAATATCCATTTTATAAGTAGACATGAAATTTCCTTATTTCAGTTTCTGAAAGCTTGAAAATGCTTTGCTTTAATTTCTCCATCCAAATGAGATTTTGATGCCATATTCTTCATGGAATCTTTTTTAAAAAATCTTCCTTAACCCATATCATTTTGAGAAATACACAAAGTACTGTAGGTTTCGAGATCAAATTCTAAATTTTAATCTAGAAACCCCTTCAAGAAAACACACGATTGTCAAAATAAAAAATATATATTCATGTACAGACTTGGCACTTTGGTACTTGGCACTGAGCTTACACACAGTCCATATATTAATAAGATTCTTCTTACATGGCTCTCTCATTGTTTCTTCATTTGAATGAAGACTTCTCTTGCCTTTTAAAATCATTCTCCTAACAATCTTTTGCCGTCTTTCAAATCCAGGTGTTCAATGAATCCTGCTTTATATTTCAAGAGTTCAGTTTTTCCTGCAACTTTGATCTTATATGTTTGTACATTAAAGTGGTCAGGAAAGTAACAGTTTGCAAATTATTTTTCTTGTTCTCTCTACCTTGTTCTAAACATGAGAGAAAACATATTCAGTCCAATTAAAGTAACTACATCAAATATTTTTTAAATAATTTGCTTCACATTATAAGCAGCAGTGTCCTTGTGTTCAATGTAAGGAGTTTTTTTGACACTACAAAAGTTAGCTGATTGCCAAAAACTGAAATAGATTGAAATCAGTATTTAATATAAACAGATTAAAAATTAACTTACGTTATACAATATAAGATGTAAGATAAATAATCTCACGAAATTTAAATATGTATATATGATGCACAGTGAATTAGAGCAGTATTAAATGTTTGTTAATACTATCAAAACATAATATTTATAAAGAAATTATCTGGGAATGAGAATTATCGATGAAGTAGAATAGCAGTCCCAAGTGCTACTTAAGAAGAATGAATGTGATATAGAGACATTTATGTCAGCATCTCAAACCACTACTTCAGGATTGTTCATATCTTCCCTATAATAGCACTCATGTGGGAACTTTAATGTCTGAATTAGATCTAAGTAATATAATTAGTATTTTTAATATAGTATGTAATTCTGCAGATGTTTCCCAGTAGGGCAATAAAATGGACCACCCATAGCTTAAAAAGCTACACTTTGGTGGATGCTGCTGGTATACACATCTGGATTTCTAAAACAAAAAGAGGGTAAAAGGGAGATCTGTGTATGCTAACTGAAATCCAAATGACACTGAATGTTAGCCCACAAAAGTTAGGTGAAATAAGCACAGAAAAAAAGATTGGGGCAACAAGTTCCTAAAAATACATATAATGTGCAGGAAAGGAATTAGGTTCAAGTGATATGAACTGTGAAATTATTATCCATTTGTCTTACATAATCTAACTCCTTCCAAATTCTGCCTAGGTTACCATCTTCCTATTAAGTACAGTTATCCATCTGAAATGAAGCCCAGGGAAAAATAAATGTTTCCAAAATTTAACTAGCTATAGTCTCATTTTTAAAAGAAATCTTTTATACTGCAAATAAGATGGAACATGAAACAAACTTCAATTCAGCAAACTATGTACTCAGAGCTGAAATAGAATATTATAGGAAGAACAATGGCACTATAGTAGTCAGTGATGGAATAAATCAAAGGGCATCACATTGCTCCAGAATGCAGTGGCCTGTGCAGTGTTGGGCGCATCTAGATTCATCCATGTTATATCTCAGTTGCGCAAGTTGCACTGGCTCCTTGTTTCCTTCAGGTGCCAATTCACAATAGTAGTTATTATCTTTAAGCCTATATGGCACAGGACCAGGTAATTTGCAGGATCATCTCTCCCTCAGGACACCTGTCTTCCCCACATATTAGATACGATAGGTACACTCTTGATCCCTTCCCTTAAATGCTGCCATCTTACGGGGCCTATGAAATGTGTCTTCTCCTGTCCTACGGAACGCCCTTCCTCCAAAGGTCCAGCAGGCCCTTACCCTTTTACCCACTTAAGACCTGGTGGTTTCCCCTAGTGCTGAAATGAGGTTGAAATTGGCATGGGATAAACTTGTTAAGAACTGCATGGGAAAGTTTAGCTGTAGTGCCAGGTCTTTTTTTGTTTTGTTTTGTTTTAATACTTTTCTTTCACTATTGATATATTTTGCTTTATTTTGGGGTTGTGAGCTGCTCAAAGTCTGGTTTAAGATAGGTGGCTGTATAAATGTTTTAAATAAATTAAGTAAGTAAATAAATTTTACTGCAGATTTTATATATGTATTGTTCAAGCTACTGTTTCAATTTAAGTATGGTTTAGCTGAGTAGTTTTCATAAAGATGAGTTTTCATAAGGATAAGTAACTGTTGACGTTTACAGATACTAATTAAACTAAATAAAACAAGATTACTTACCTTTTTAAGGACACTTTGTTTCTTTCTAAAATAAATTAATTGCAAAAATTTTTAATTCTATCTCAGTCCCACTTTGTTCTGCATGCCATCATCCCCACCTACCTGTTTGTAAACACTCTCGCTTATGCCGGTCATTCCAAGCCTTGACTTTGCAGGACTTGCTGCAAGTGAAGATCTCAAAACAATGTGGACAAGGTGTAAGGGTCACACCAACAGATCGCCCACACTGGTAGCAGTATTTAAAGAAGAGCAATCTGTTAAAAAAATGTGGTTACAAGAAAGATTACGGACATAACATATACATATGTTTTTTGGAACACACACGACAAAGAAATTTGCTCAAATATTAAAAAATTGGAATACATATGATCCTGTATATGATTCTGTACATAGAGTTTTGATCTTCAACACTTGTTTCTTTATATTGTCATTCTAAAGTTATTTTAATAATTTCTTCTCATATACCCTTGCGGCCCCTTAATCTTCTAATTAAGTGCCCCAAAATTTAGCTTCCCCAAATTAAAGTTCTATGGGTTTGTCAATATACCAGTCAATAAGCAATTTTTACTGGTGCTTATTTTCTTAATATTTTTTCAGCTAATCATTTTTACATCACACTCATAAGAAAGCTGAACACTGAATTTAAAGTTTAAAGAGATTCAGTAAGAGGAATGCACAATAAACCACTTATGCATTTTATCTCCAATGTATATATATCATGCATGTATGTGTGGGTATGTACACACACACACACACACATATATATATACATATACATATACTATATATAGACAACACACAGCAACAACATTATCGATACTAAATTTAAAATTAAAAAGGAGCTCAATATTTGGATTTAGGACATCTGTTTTAGAAGCTATATGTAGACCAATTGGCTTAAAGAGAACATCATTTTGAGTTCTGCAGCAAAATAAACATCCATTAGTGATGACAACAATACTAAAACCATCTACCACAGAGATAGATGTGACTATAATTACAACAAATAAATCATATTTTGATTCATAGGACTTACTTTGATGAATCTGTTTCTGGTAACTGTCCTAAAGCGATACCCATAGATTTCTTTCTTACGCCTACAGAAGCTGAAATGCAAATATTATTATTAATATTATTGATTTGTCACAGAGTCACTTGGTTAAATTGGATTTGCCATTTTTATCCACCCATCAAGTCCTTTCTAAGGACTTAGGATAGGCAGATGGTCTTGTGTGATCGTGTTAAAGGCTTTATGGTTCATTGTATAGTGAGCCAGATCTTTGTATTTGCCATTTTTTATCCACCTTTTGAATCCTTCCCAAGACTTGGGTTGGGTACATGTTATTGTTTGATGGTGTTAAACATATTATTGCAGGATATAAGCTGTTCCAAATAATTCCTTTTGCAATTGACTAATGGTGATTTTATCAATGCTGATGGTATTCAAATGATGTTCCAGAAGTTTTGAGATTGCACCCAAGGCACCTATAACTATTGGCACTATCTTTGCTTTCTTTTGCCACAATCATTCTATTTCTATTTGCTGATCATTGTATTTGTGATCTTCTCCAGTTCTTTCTCTTCTCTTCTGCTATCTCCAGGTATTGCCACGTCCACTATCCAGACTTTTTTGTCCTTCTTATCGACAATTGTTATGTCTGGGGCGTTATGTGGCAGATGCTTGTCTGTTTGAATGCTAAATTCCCAGAACACATCACTTCTTCATTTTCTATTACTTTCACTATTTTATGGTCCCATCAGTTCTTCCCTGCAGGCAAATGGTATTTCTTGCAAATATTCCAGCACACCATTGTTGCTACTTTGTCATGCCATTGTTTATAGTCAGTCTTTGCAATCTTTGTGCAGCAGTTAACTAAGGATCCAATGTTTCTTCAGCTTCTTTGCAGAGGTGGCTTTTGCTGTCTGTTGATGTCTTCTCCAATTCTGGCTTTGAATGCATTTGTTCTTAAGGCTTGGTCTTATGCAGCCAGTATTAGCCCCTCTGTCTCTTTCTTCAACTTTCCTGCTCATAGCCATAGCCAGGTCTTGTTGTTATTTATTTTTCCTGCTCTTTTTTGAAGTGTACTGGCTTTGCAAAATTTTGCCTTGCCATATCTCTTTCCTATTCTTCATTTGGTCTTTCTTGAAGGCCAGTTTGTCTCTCCACAACTCAGTAAGCCTACAGTACTGAGTATGCTAGCTTAGTATATCATCTTCACTCTCCTTCAGATATTCTTCCAATGCCCTTTTTTCTTCTTCAATTGTCTAGTGTGCTTGCAACATTCCATATTCACCTATTTCCTTGGTAAGAACAATCTATCAACATTGCTGTGTGTATGAAGGGCATAAGTCATTGCCATTATTTTTCTGTTCTTTCTATTTGGGGCTTTTAGTTATGCTTGATTCCAGTCCACTATTCAAGCTGTACATCTAATGACTGGAATTATCCAGGTGTTAATTGTCTTGGTACTGCCTCAACTGAGTGTTATGACCCAGATGGTCAAGACAAGGCAGGCCTCTAAAAAGTTCTTTATTTCTCTTAACCAGTGTTCCAGCCAATGGCCTTCCAACAACCAGTAAAGCTCCACCTTGATGCTACCCTGAAGGCATCCACCCTCATTCCCCCAAACAACAGCCCCTATAGTACAAAGAAAGCCCACAGAGTAGGAGCACGCTCACAGGGCAAGGTCCAGTGTTCCAAGTCCAATCCACCAGGCAGGGTCCAGGCACAAGACAAGGGCAGTTGAAACAGGTCCCAGAAAAGAAGCAGTTCCAAAGCCTCAGTGAAGCAAAGGCCAAACATAGGCCACAAGAGAAGGACGAGGTCCAAAACAAAATGCGAAGAGCAATTTTCCAAGCGAGGCAAGGCAAACAGCAACAGACATAAGAAGGGAGTGTAAGGAAAGTAAACAATTGCTCCTGGCAAAAACTAACTCCCCACGGCTTCTCCTTAAGTTACTTCCCTCCAGGTATTCCTTGTGAGGAGGAGGTGAGGTGACCTCCTCCCAAGTAGCCTTGCAGCCTTCTCTGAGCTTGCCTATGCTCCACTCTCCTTGCCTTTGGATCAAGTGGAATAGGCAGCTGTATCTCATCAGAGGAGATTGGCTGCCTAATAGCACCACTGGCGGTCAGCAGCCAATTCTTCCGGGTCTGTGCAGGGAGGCAGCTCTCCATTTGGTCGACCACATCTTCCAATGCCTGAGGGGCCTGGGACACATTGTCCTGAGACCCTTGCATGCCTTCCCTGTCAGATGGTCCCAGCTCCAACTCTTCTTCCTCCTCCAAACCGGCCTCTGAGGGGACCCTGACATTGAGTTTGGACTTTAAGATCTTCATTACTCTCATATTGTATTCATTTCTAACCTCCTTCTTGATTATAGGGTGCTTGATGTTGTCAGCTTGAAGTATGCCCCAGTATTTGTAGTGATCATCTTCACCCAGTCTCATTAATGTTATTTCATAGGGTATCTTGAGTTGTTCAGTTTTCACTATTTTTCCCCTATTATAGTTAGCTGCACAATCAACAAGATGGTTTATACTGGATTTGGTATTTTCATCCACCTATTATTAAAACTGATCTCATCAGAGCTGTTGTTGCTTTTCTAAACACCAGAGTCAATCATTTTTTCAGAATTGTTAGCAGTATTAGCCAATTTTTTAATTTAAAAAATTGAATGTCAATGTCTGAAAATGAAATTAAACATTAGAAAGATTTCATGATAAGTATCAGCATCCTTAGCCTCATCTCTTTGTCTCAACACAGTATATCTTGCGAATACAAAAAGATAACATATTACCACATTCCCCAGATGTTAGGAGGAAAGTTGACAATGAATCCCAAGTTTAACATTTTAGGTCCATATTTTAAATAATCTGCAGCTGCAAGAAAATACCTCTGCCCTAAGTATTCTAATCCCAATCTAGAACTATTTCATATTGGTTTTTTTTATTTTAAAATCTAATTTGGACTCACCAATTTTGATTTTCCTAAGTTCTTCTTCATCCCACTGTTTTTCCTTTTCAATGACACACCCACGAAGCCGGTCACTGAGAAAATCCAGCATCTTTCGTCGAAATGCATAAGTATCCCTCTCTACTGGTGACAGAGAATGGAGGGGAGTATGCAACAGTCTTTTATCCTGCAATACATAAGAATTGTTTTTAGTATGTAACTAGGAAATGTGCATAAAAATTATAGATAGCAATAGACTTATATACCACTTCATAGTGCTTTACCGCCCTCTGTAAGCGGTTTACAAAGTCAGCATATTTCCCCCAACAATCTGGGTCCTCATGTTTACCGACCTCAGAAGGATGGAAGGTTGAGTCAACCTTGATCCGGTGAGAATCGAACTGCTGCCAGTCGGCATAATTAGCCTGCAATGCTACATTCTAATCACTGTGCCACCACAACTCATGTGGTCAGATAGTCAGGTAGTCCTTGAATTATGACCATTCATTTAGCAATTTTCAAAGTTAAGATGAAGCTGAGCAAATGATAGTAATAATTGGTCCTTATAAATCCAATCATTGCAGTATCCTTACAGTCACATAATTGTATTCTGGGCACTAGGCATCCAGATTATGACATTGCAGCAAGTTGCAGTCATGTGATTGTGATTTCTGATGTCCCCTGCCAGTTTCCCACAAGAAGAATTTATAATCTATTTCTGATAAGAACAATGCCACCTATGTTTTTTTTCTAATTTTCCTAGCAGACACTTAGAAAGCCAGTCTCCAGAACATCCCTTTATGCATCTTCCTATATGCAAGGGAAATAAATTCATCAATGATTCTAATCCATGATGGCATAAATAAAAATATGCCTTTAACAGACAATGATAACATTGTTTCCTATAATGTAACAATATATTATTTGCAAGTAATTTATAAATAGAACTGTAAAACATAAAGTCAACATCCAGTGTATTTGATGAAAACAATTACAAATAACTATCTGTCAAACCCCAAGAGCTATTCCCTGAAACCCCACCTTTCTATCCATTCTATCCATTATCCACCCATGATAACGTAGCACAGATGTTTTGGCACATGTAGATCTCTGGGCAGAAGCACTGATAGTTACTGAAGCATCTCAACTACATTCTAGGTCATCTGTATGCTTGTGAAATACAGCAGGTTTACTTAATTCAAGACAATAACACCAAATGTTGATCAAAGTACATTGATCAAAGAAAATGAGAAAAGTTTTCAAATTTGTGGAAGTGTATATATAATACACTTCAAAATAAGCAATGTGTAAAATTCAAAAAAGAATAAGAAGTTAAGATAAATGACATTCAAGAAAAAGGGAAAGGGAAAGGAAATCTAAATAAATTTCATTTATAGTACATCAACACCATTCATTATACCTTTCCATTTACATATCAGCCTTGTTTCCATCACATTTACATTTCTATTGCCACATTACTTTTCTGTGCTCTCCTTATCTTGTCAAGGATCAGTTCCATCTAACTGTGACTTTTTCAATCGGTCTCTTCTTCTCAACCATACCTTCTTCAAGTATTGAATCTTCATTTTCTTCATATGATTAAATCACCTGAATTTAGTTCTTCTTAGTAGTTTTTTGTATTTGATCCATTAATTCAGCACCCATTCGTTCTTCACTCTCATCTTACCATAACATTTAAATACCTTATTCAAGTTACCTTTAGGTTTTTCTGACATACATGATTCTCATTGAACAGTAGCAAGAATTTACAATCCTCAAAACACAGGACTGTAGATACATCATATTTTGAATTTTCAAACACGGAAAAAGATACCTGATAATATTTGAAATATGCATAGTCCACAACTGTCCCCACTGCAGTTCTACACTCATCAATAAGAGTAATTGGCATCAACATCTCTGCACCTGCTGCTATGAGAGAATCAATCTAAGTAGAGAAGAAAATAAATGTAGAACATTTAGAGTCATATGCAGCCATTTCCACCAATGTTGCACATAGGCAAATCAATATAGTCCAACCTGAAGGCCATTGATTTATTGCTAGCATTTATATAGAAATAAGGCATAACTATACTACATGACCAACTTTTCTTTAAGAAGAAGCGTACAATTCAGTTAATGCTTAAAAGTGTCCACACACATGCATATAAACCTAATAATGTTACTTAATTACATTAAAGATATAAAAGCAAATTTATTAATGTTTCAGTATCTTCTTCTTAAGCCATTATGTTACAACGGGAAAATGAAGATCTGGATAATCAGATGTACAATTTAATTTGTGTTAAAACTGAACCACAACCAAAATTAATATGGGGCTATAGCATTTTTCACTTTGTGAGGTATAGATAGAGAATAAGCTTATATATATATATAAATAATTATTTATGTAACTAGACTGGAAAGACATATAGACAAATTAGAGCCATCAGTTTGCAATGCTATCTACTGTTCACTCAATCCCCTGCTCTCTCAGCCATCCAATATGCTGACCTATCTCTGTAACACTAAAAATCTGTATCAGCTCTATTTCTAATTCTTTGATCCTTGGGCCTTTTACAGCCTCTTTTTTCACCTTTTTCCTCTATTCATGGCATTTTCATCCTGCTTCACCATTATAATGCCTTATTTTATTTTACTTTTATTCTGGCAAGCGATTAGAATAGTTTATAATTTTTTATTTGAAAAGTAACCAAACATGCAAGACTTTTCTTACCAGTGCTATCTTAGTTGCTAATGTCCCATTCTGCTCATATGCAGGATTAATAACAGCACACAGGGCACTTGCAAGACTTTGGCTTAAAGGTAGATTTGGATCAGCTCCACCAGCCAGAAGTTCAGCAACTGCCTAAAGGTAGGAGAAAGACAAGGAACTCTCTTTTAACATTAATATTATTGATTCAGATATGTGTATAATGCCTTGCCTACGCAAATGTTGGGCATGGCTAAAAATTGCCAACATAATATTTTTGTTAGGGATTTAAAGAGAGAAATCGGTGTCCACGAATTGGCTTCCACATTCTTAAAGCAATGACTTCATCCATTAAAGATGACCAAAATAGGGAAGTTCTATATGGTTTCAGATAAAGACACAAAACTATTTTCTCTATTTCTTTCTTGTTCTTGTCCTTAGCAGCTAAATATGAGGCTCATATACCACACTAAGGGAATAATTAGACAGGACCGGTCGTCCAGCAGTAATGTCCTATTCTGGTGTAGCAGAAGGGTTCATACTATATGGTGAACTATAGCAAGAATGTGGCGAGAAATATCTAATCTCCCCTGTTTGCAGCCAAAGGCCAAAAAAAGAAACTGCTTTGCACTGAAACTGTTTTGTAAACCTGATTTTTTGTATATACTCTATTTTTATAAAAATAGCAAAAGTGGGTTAGAACTGGTTGAGGAAAGGATGGCACTGCCAAGCCTTTACACAGTCCATGTTAGGAGCAACTACATGTCTTTGGCCATGGGGTACACTTTTTGACTATTACTCTTATCAGCTTCCATGGGCTGCATCAGAAAATAAATACACATTAACACAAGGATATGGTGTCATGGCATGAGAAAAAGCTATTTTTGATCTGAATCATTCCTTTGCATCATCTGTTAAGGAATATCAAATAAATGTTATTTATTCATTCATTTTATCCATTCAATTAATACTGTTGTCTACCTGACTTATGATTCACAGTAGCATCATCCAATGCCCGAGAGAAAAGCCAGGTCTTTAGACACTTTCAGAAGATAGGCAAGCTTTCCATATTTCAGCAAAATGCTGTGGTATTAATTTTATTTGTATGTAATTTTATTGTATTTATGCTTACTTTTTAATATTTTCAATAATTTTAGGTGTATATATTTTAGGCAGTTTTTTTTTTCTGGCCTAAAGGCCATGGTAAAAGTTTGTATTGTTACTGAATATAACAAAGAACACAAAACATGTATTTTGAAATTAATAAATCCATAATCCAATTCACAATTAAAATACAAAAAATAGTTAAAAATAATTTGACATTTGTATGGCACTGTCCATTGTCAAATGAGGACTGCAGGAACAAGAACTCAACTTCCTCCTGCCCATGGAGACACCTGATTGAAAATCGATCTTCTAATATCACCAATTTCCTAAAGACAAAAACAAGCAAACTAACAAACAAAAATCCTAACCATGTGAATATTAACATATATAGATAGCATGATTGTAAATTGTTGTCATTTTCTGTTGATCTGTCCAACTCTTAATGAATTTTTAATAATAATTTTAAAAATCCAAATCAATAGATTTGTAGCTCTTACTAATAGGATTGACTATAAATAAATTATTTGAACAAAATAGCTGATTACTGAATCAGTATCAACATGTCTCAAAATATATGTATATATTTTAACTTTCTGTAAGCTTCAAGGAATCTTTAATGTCTATTTTATGCTCTAGCATCATTGTATATATTACCTACAAATGCTGACATAAGGATTGGAATCACTGCTCTGAGTTTGCCAAAATTAGGATGATTTTGAAATAATGTTTACGATTGTTGTTAAAAATGCTTGGAAAGACAGAATATTGCAAACCTGTTCATTTCCACTGGCAATTGCTAGTGAAAGAGGGGAATGGCCACTCCACAGAACATTTGGATTTGCATTGTGATTTAACAGATGATGAATAACTTTGCCAGCATTCTGATGGGGAGAATAAAACAAAAAGAGATCAGTACAGATACTGTTTTTAAAATTAAAATAAATAATAAGGACACATTTAAATAAGACATTTAAGTTAAGCCACATTTTTAAATTTAAAGCAAAAATATTATACCTATTTTATCTTGGGGGAAAAAAGCTGAAGCTGGTTGCAAATTGGGCATTTATTTATATCCCTGCATCTAACCATATTCAGACCAGAACAGCATATCACAAATTAAGGATCTGGTGCAATGAATACAAAGTCACAACAGTAAATAATATATTCTTAGACCGATTGGCAGATATGGGAATTTATGAATGCTGTTGTTATCAGAGATTACACCAGAGATCTGCATTAGATTTAATATGTCCAGAATGTCCATTTATTCCATATAATTGAAATTCCTCAATTTGAGCTCAGGCTTAAAAATTAAATGTCCATATTGATAAGCTGGAGCTAGTTGACCACAGACTTTTTCCTTTTACAAAATAAAACTCTTACCAATACAAAATGTGCTATTCAAAAACTGAGAAAAAACAATAGAATTTGTAAAAGAGAATCTCAATAACTATCACTTACCGTAAGATTGTCTTCCCTCTCACAGGCAATATGAAGAGGTGTCCTCCCACCTTCCTCTGGGACAATAGTACATTCTTTGTAGTAATGTTTGGGTGGTCCGGTTTCATTATTCATTTTCATGAAAGATACTGATTCACTAATATCAAACTAAAAAAGATAATTAGATAACTCAGTTGAGGAGCCATAAATTGTTGTTCCCTGTCATTTCCTACAAAGAAAAAATAGATGGGGATCGGAATTTTCTAAGGAAGAGGACAGTCTTCCCTTAAGCCTGTTCTCCCTGATGTTCAGCCTATTTTCACAAATGATCTCAGTCTATGGACCAAATACACACTCATCTGGCCTAAGATACAGTGATTTAACTGTTCTTAAGATTTAATAAGCAGGTGTTTACTACAGTTTCCATATGCCCCATGAGCTGTGTTTATCCATACATAGTTGCTTTATACTACATCATATTACTAATTAATCTCAATGCAGCAACTACTTAGTAGTGGTCTTCCACAGTAGCAGTTTAAGATGTTACCCAGGTATCCTCTTAATCATAGATGTTCAGCTCTATTAATTGTTGCTTTATAGAATCCAAGCAACACAGAAAGTAGTCAGTGAAATTTGCTATAAAATTATATTTATATCTATATTTTTGTTATTTTACCTTCAAAACTTTTAGTTATTATTATTAAATACTTTAATCTTGTTGTGTAAGCTGCCTAGAATTTCTTTGCAATCAAAGTACCATGCAAGTGACAAATAAAATAAGAATATATATTTGAAAAGGCAACTCTACCTAAATATGTATCATTGCAAGCTCACTTCTTAGAATTTGTTTGTTAAAACACTATTTCAGCATACAGCATACCATAAAGTAATTGCATTATGAATTTTATTTTATATCACTTTGTCATGTACAAGCTGTTTTTTTCTCAGCTCTTCTACATGGATTACAATATAGTATAGGCCTACTGTCATGGAATCTATTATATAGAAACTGATACTTGGACAGCAAACATGATAAAAGAATACTACTTCAAGTTGGAAATATAATTGAATAGGCCAAATTTATAGGTATAAGAAGCCTCTCTTCCCCCTCTCTATTTCACTCTCTTTTTCTGTGTGTCTGAGTCTGTGTGTTTGTATATAAACGTTGTTGTATTGCTTTTTGTCTATTATTCTTTATTTCATTGTTGTTTTGTGTGTGTTTTTCTCTTTGTTCTGATTTATTTAATAAAAAAATAAATACCTTGGTTGGAATCTTATCTAACCGGAATTTATCTTTCTCATCTTCTGCCCTTACATCAGGATCTGCAGCAGCATGAAGTAGCAATTCTGTGATTACAATCCCTTCTACACAAGGAAGGGCAGCAGCAATATGAAGAGGAGCCACACCCCGAAGCTGGAAAAACAAATGCTGCATTTATTTCCAAAGCAAAACACAAGTCACAAAAACATTTCACCATTGCATGCACTCAGTCCATTAAATGCTCATTATGACAAAAAGGTATTCCAGCTTTCAAATGATGCATATTTAGCTAAATTTTAAGAACTAAAGAGAATGAAACCTTAGGGAATATAATTGCCCAAGTCATTATTATCAAAAACTAAATATTTTCATCAAATATAATCAACCTTCTTTGTTATATGCCAGCTTAATACACTAAAAGTGTTTCTGAACCAAGCTACTAAAATGATTAATCAGTAGCAATGAAACAGGAACAGAGAACATGTTTTTTTAAAATTAATACAAGGCACCATAAACAATTTATGTGCAACTAGAGTAAGTTTATATGCTTAAAGCATAAATCATTGAAATAAGTGGGTTTCAAATATTTATCTACTTTTTTAAAACAATTATGAACTTCCAATAACACTGGAAGGATACACAGACTTTTACAACTTATTTTTATAGGAAAACACTTTTAATAGACCAATGCAACTTTACTGCAATATCTCATTTTGATACCCAATTTTGAATTAGAAAACACTCACTAGGCAATGTCCATACAATAGACTAGCTCTGAGAACAAGACAGGTAATCTCTAAATTTGACAAATAAATAAAATAAAAACTTATTATACACTAACTCAGTCACTACTCACTTGGGACTAAAATAACCCTTTTTATTTGCTACCTGATTCAGAGGACAAAAACAGATTTCATAAGTATCTGGCAAGTTAACAAATTCTTGGGCGTGGGCTACATTTGTGATGCACACTGCAAGTATTAAAATTTATATCAGAGCATTTACTTCCTATCATAAGCTAAAACTGTAGTTTTTAATTGAGAACTATCCCATAAAAAACACAGCATCCTACTCTGGTTGGAAGTCGTATGTCAGTCCGTGCTCCAGCTTCTAGAAGTATACGCACAGCCTCTGCATCAGCGGCTTTAACAGCAAAGAACAGTACATGCATTGGGATGTTGGAAATATTTGGATCAGCACCTCTTCTTAGGAGCACTTTAATTATAGACATTCTCTTTTTTTGCCTAAAATCCAGCAGAAAAAAGATCCATGTCAATACCTAAAAACTTAAAAGATTAGTATGCATAATGCTACACAAGCAGATAAGAAGTTCTATAACCACATGCTCATCTCTACAAAGATATTTTTTTTCTTTTGCAGGTTCTTCTAATTGATGGGATACAGGCAACAAAAAGATAGTTTACAAGGTTGTCTCTAAATAAGAGAGCCCAGCCTGCATAGATTATTATTAGCATATTTAAAGTACATACATACAGTATGTACATACTGTGACATACTGGCCGAAATCGCATAATTGGAATAGTATTCTAATTATTAGTAAGGAATATTGTATTTTTTCTGATAAAGATATTATGTGAAAGCTTCAACTGACAAAAGCCATACAGGAAGTCCTCAACTTATAACCAATAACTTAGCAACAGCTAGACTTTACAGCAGACCCTCCAAAACAGTGGTTCTCAACCTTTTTAATGCCGCGACCCCCAACTGGTCATAAGTCGAGGACTACTCAACCGGTCGTAAGTCGAGGACTACTCAACTGGTGCAGCACTGTTTGCAGAATGGGACTTTTGGCAGGCTCAGCAGGGCAGAGACAGCCTGAATAATTCCTATTGGCTTTTGAAAGCCAATAGAATTAGACTCTATTCAAGAGAGTCTATTCTATTGGCTTTCAAAAGCCAATAGAATAAAAAGGAGTAGCACAGCTAAGGAAAAGGGGAAAAAAATGGCGGACTGCGTTGTTTGGTGACCCCCGTGAAATGGTCGTTCGACCCCAAATGGGGTCCTGACCCACAGGTTGAGAACCACTGCTCCAAAAGGTCTGCTGTATTATTAATGCATAGGTTAATAATAACAGTTATATACTAGGTAACACTGAATGGTGAAAATGGAAGAATCAGGATGAATTTTGAAGTGGGGAAATGGGCAATATTCTATTAATGTGTAAATATGTCAAAGGAACAAATATATATCTAAACATTTGATTGTTTATGATAGAAGTTATACAAGAATAATGAGAGGTTCTGGATATGAGCTAGACATTTTTTTGGTAGAATCCTAGAATTCCTAGGAAACTAGGAAAGAATGGACATGAACCTATAAAGAACTGAAGGATATAAGAGCTGAAGCAGAATATTTCTAGTAGTGTTAAAAGAGGAACTTTGGAAAAATAGACACAGAAGGAATGAAAAACAGTGAAAGAAACTACAACAAAAGTAGAAAAACTGCATAAAGAAGGATCTCAAGTCCTAAGTGAATGGGAAAAGTTATAAGGAAAGAGGATGTGGAAGTGGCTTAGAACAGAGCAAAAAGGACTAAGTTTGCGGCAAAAGATAAAACTAATAAAAATATACTGCTTAATGTGTAATTGCAAACAATAAAGTGAAAGAGAGCAAGCAATGTTAAGATTTAAACACAGAAAATACAAAGTGATTTTTATGGAAACAAAAAGCTGTTTTTGAAGTGAGTGAAGAAGGCTAAACAAATTGTAACCATTAACATAATCTGTCCAATATTTCACACCATATTCAACGTTTGCAGTAAGAGAGAATTATAATACCATTACCAAGCGATCAAAAAGCTTTGCAGTATTGCTAGCAAGTTTTTATAACAGTATATATTGCATGATTTTCGTATCATAAGAGCTTCCTCAACCTTTATTTATAGAAACACCTTACTTACAAAATTACCGTAAATGCCGGCGTACAAGGCGACCCGGTGTATAAGACGACCCCTGTCTTTATAGCCGGGCCGCATTCCTAGAACGTTGTCTTATACGCCGGAAACTACCAGTATTTCCGGCGTATAAGACGACTCGGCGTATAAGACGACCCCCATCTTTGGCACCGATTTCAGCGCTCGCGGAAGTCGTCTTATACACCGGCATTTATGGTAACTTCTAACAATCTAATTATCTTCAAAAAAACACAGGGATTGCCTTGACCATGGTACTTCAGATGATTCATCTATGTTCTCCTAAAGTCACTTACTCTGTTAATGATGCTGCCATTTTCCTTAAGGTGCCTTCCTGATGAATAGAGTCCCCAGTGTCTGGGTAACTGTGAGTCTGTAACATATGCTGGCTAAGAACAACTGCACCATGATGCATAGTTTCTGGAGAAATCTTAATTTTGTAGTTGTAAATACCACAAATTGTCCCAGAGCCCTTTTCTCCATTATCTGTTTCATCTGATGACTTAATTTCAACATCGGGGACAAATTCTGTCTTTTCAGCTGAGAATGACAATGCTTCAACTGATACTGGGGTGGTAGCATTTGTACTCGCTTCAGATAACTGAGATATCTCTGACTGTATAGATTCTTTAGACGTTTCTTCAAGGACGTCTTCTAACTATATAAAGTAAAAAAAAAGATAAGATAATCACTTATAAAACTAACAACTATATCTTGTCAGGAAGACAATATATTATTAGGATATGTATTAATGTGCAGATACATATATTTCTATCACCAGGTTATTATGCAAAATAGTAAAGAAGTTAGGTAACATTCTACCAAAATTTTGCACATGTGATTTCATTATATCATCCTTCCTTCCTTCCTTCCTTCCTTCCTTCCTTCCTTCCTTCCTTCCTTCCTTCCTTCCTTCCTTCCCTCCCTCCCTCCCTCCCTCCCTCCCTCCATTATGGTACTCAAGTACTCTCCTGTCCATAAATACTCACCCGACTTGGATCTGGCCAACTTGCAGCTTCATATGACTTCAGACTATGCCTATATATCAGTTATACAACTCACTATAGACAGCAAAGATGAAAACATCACTATCTTTTAGTGGCAATAACTGCTATTTGGTTTTTGAAAACAAAACATCTAAAAATCATAAATACTTTTAAAAAACTTTCAATAAGCACTGGCTGCACTTTATATTATAAAACTAAAAGTGAGAGAAAAGACACTTAGGGACCAATCACTATAGAGAAGCTCTAATCCAAGTTATTTAGGGATTTAAGAAAGAGCAGTAGAGCAAATACCACAACACACAGAAATAAGCATTTTAAGCAAAGAACATTTGGAATTGTGGGTAACTCCATTCCTACTGTGCATAACTTGGCAACCAAATTAAACCCTTATTAGCAAATTTAACTTTCATTTGAGAAATGTAGTTTCACAAACACAAAGACCCCAGACAATTTCAAAAGGAAAATCCAATACCTTCCACGGAATTTAGCACAATGGTAACCAGTGTGGTTGGTTAATACAAATTATGGGGATAAGTTTACATCTCTTGCATATGCCTCTTTATTCCATATAATCAGCACAATTCGTTTAAGTGCATGCTCTCTGTATTGAAAATGAAAAGTATGAAACATTTTGCTGAATTTTATTTCAGATTTATATATTATGAAGGACTAACCTCTTTTATAAAGATATTCCTTTCAGCAATATTGGGATGAAATCCTTCTGCGGGGAAATAGTGAATAACACACATGGATAAAGTTGATAATCCTTCATCACTGCATTTATTCACATCAGCTCCACAATCTAGAAGAAGGTTGATGATGTCTTCTTGATAATTTAACTGCACAAACAAACTATTTCAGTTATTTTCACAAAGTTTTTTTTAAATTCCAGTCTGTGCACATTTTGAGATTATGAATTTGATTTCTCCAATGAATATGTATAATGAGTCCATCACTCCCTATCTGGTGCTCCAAATATATTTGGATTATAGTTCCAAAAATGCATAAATTACATGTTGGCTGAGAATTCTAAATCTAGTAATCTAACCAGTTCTCTAAGGTATCAAACTGGTCTACAATGACTGTCCAGTAACACTCTATTCTTTCATACTTTCAATTGCTTTTGACAAATAGCATAAATTCTTTTAAATCGCTCAAGCCACCCAGAGCTGTAATAACCACTGATTTTTTGCTAATACTAACATGCTGAAAGTAATTAAGTTGGAGGTAATAACTACGGTGGATCTTGAGGGTTATTGATTATTTAAATTCAGTTTAGACTAGGTTCTAGCCTGATTATATTACATTACCAGCACAGCATCTTCAGTTAATTCAGTCTCCCAGACATTTTAAAATCACAAGGACACCCTGCTTTCACATTTTCAGCTGGTGGTTACAAAAATGGCCTTTCTTTGCAGCGACACCTGCCCTATAGAGTAATGCAAGGCCCCAGTGCTGATCTATTTGAAGCATCTTTCAAAGACTTTTATTTTTATGTTAGTTTTTAATCCTTAACACCTGCTAATAGGTTTTTAAATGTAGTGTTGATAACCTGCTTTAATCCTATATCCATAGCACTTAAATTATTTTAAGATTGGGAACCAATGTGCAAATATTATAAATAAAAAAACAAATAAACAAACAAACAAATACATTAAAATAAAATAAAAATGGTACAATACTGTCACAATACAAAAAGAAAAAACTGAATTTAGCTATAATTTTACCCACCCTTCCAGCTTCACCATGCCAGAAAGCATAATATATAATAAGAACTTACAGCAGCAGCAGCAAGAGCAGTATATCCACTCATATCTGCTATATCTGGATGGGCTAGATTGTCTCTCAGAATCTCATACACTCTTTTATAGTCTCCTTCTGCTGATTTCTCAATCAGTTCTTCAGCAATAAGCTCTTTGGGACCTTTGGGTGCAAAACCATATCGGTTGCCTTTGATAATGGCATTAACATCCCCATCTATTTCATTCTGACAATGCCTAAAAGTAAGCAAAGACATAAAAAGCTAGAAATATAATAGAAGTACAGAGTGTTATTGTGGCATCTAAGTCAGATGGACATATAAGGCATGGGTTTTTTTTTCTTTACTTCTCCTTATCCATCTCTGGTCGCTTAGTGAAATGGTAATTCTGTTTATGGGATTTACTACAGACTAAAGACATGAGAAATCACAAGATTCAGTATCCCCCTACATTCAATATTCTATCTACCTAAAAAATATATTCCCTCTCCAAAGGAAATTAGTTAAGAAGAGAAAAGGCTTTAATCTTGGTCTCTCCTGAGCTTATTTATTTAATGTGAAGAACAATCATGTAAATGATCATTTTCAATCTAAAATGATATAAACAAATATTAATCATCCAAGCAAAGAAAGTTTTTTACTATTCCACTTTTTTGGGGGGAAAAGGTAAGAAAACAGCTGCAGGAGCACATAAGAATAAATCCTATGTGCATGTGCACATACACATGCACGCACACACATTTACACAGATTTTCTGATTATTTTCTCCAAATGACCACATTTTATAGAACTAGAACTAAACAATTGGGTAAACTAGATGCAAAGAAATTGAGGGCCAATAAAAAAAGTACTTTTTAGACACAGTACAGCTAGGGAACCTCACTGCCATAAGATCTAGTGATGGCCGCCTATTTAAATTTTAAATTTAAATGATTTTAAAAGTATCAACAGACATGTAAAATATTAGTTATCTTTAGTTATTAATCTTAAGCTCCTGAAGCACAGAAAACATCTAGTGAAAGTGGCTGTAGCCCTCCCAGCTTTGTTTGTGAATTTCTCAAATCCTCTTAAGTTGTTACTGTGTGTCAGATAATGCTGGACTAGATTGGATCTCTGCCTTTCTACCAGGCTCTTCTTATTTCTTATGTTTCTTTCTCTCTCAAGCCCACTGCCCAACCTTCTTAAACATTAAACTAATTAGAAGTAATTAAACATTAAACTAATGAGAAATAAAAGTATTTCTGATAACTGGAATATGGATGGGGTTAGAAAATTGGTAGAATCAATCAAGATTTCAAACAATATTTTAAATAATATTTATGAATATCTGATAAATAATACCTCCAGTAGACACAACGAGAAGGAATTGGCAGAATAATAAGTTGTGCAGGATTTTGGGGAAGAATTAAGGGCGTAAGTAAGGAAGAAGCTATATTTCATCAGCAGTTGAAAGGACAGAATGAAGCATATAGTATAAGCTTTTAAAACACACTTAATTCATTGAATTGTATAAACTATTCAGCTGAAAAGAGATATGTCAGAAAATAAAATTTCAACTACATTTTCATTTTATCAATTGTCAGTTCATACCTATACTTATATATGTTTTTCTGCATCTTGACCAGAATAGCAGTTGTGTTGGTTACATGCCATGGTTTTTCAGAAGCGGTATGTTTTCTTTTCTTAAAATATTGAAAATCAAACTCTTTCAAGAAGGATTGAGTAAGAGGAAGATTATCTGCATCAATTGAATATATATACATATTAGCAGGCAACGTATAGTTGTCATCATTTAGCAGAAGACGTTTGAATCTGTAGAAAAATGGATCCTTTTCTTCATTCAGGTCCCACATAGAAGTGCTTTCCTCTGAAATATACTGTTCTTTAGACTCAGAATCAAAATAGATATTGAGTTCTGGGAAATCAGAAATAGTAAAATGCTCATGAATTTCTGTACATAGTTTAATAATATGGTTTCGGTGCCACAGGCCAACATCTTGCCTATCATCTGGGTAAGTTTCAATTCCTGGTCCAAAACGCTCATCAGCCTTATAAAGCCCCTTTTGAGGAAAAAAAATGTTTAAAAACAAAAGAAAATATGACAGAATAATACAGACAAAATACAGAAAAGAATGCATTTTAATGTATTTGCATGTTTATTTATTCAAGGAATACTAAACATATTAAAAAGGATTAGCAACACTATGAAAAAATCAGCAGTCTATAAACCCTATAAATAAATGAATAAACTTTGTGCTATTCCTAAAAACATTCATAACCTTGAAAAAAAACGAGTTTCTCAAATATTTGTTGAATTTATTCATTTTATAAACATGATAGTATAGTGTTGTAATTATTATTAGAATTCATATAATATTTTAAAAGTTTGTGGTTACCTGAAATCGTTTTCCATCCGTAAATTCGATGGTTCCATAGCCTTCTTTACGATTAAGATAAAATGAACCTGTAAATCTGGAGCCATTAGGCCAAAAGTAAACTCCTTTGCCATGACGGTGATCTTTATAAAATTGCCCTATATATCTCTGCAATAAAAAATAAATAAAAAATAAATGTATTCTACTTTAAATGAATATATTCCAGTACATCTAGAGAATTTCTAAATATTAAGATAAGCAATACTGCAGCATCCATGGACATAGTTCATCTACCTTACATAATGTAGCATTTGTATGCATTTTTCTGCAATTATAGTATTTGACAACAGAGAACTATATTTTCATGACTAAATGATCCCCTGTATCAGGTACTTTGGAAGAAAGTTTCAGAGTGAAAAATTCCAGCTTGAACCACAGGTCATTTTAACTTTATAGTTCTTTAATCTCTTTCCAGAGGATTCCCCCAATTTTCCAGCAACAATTCTTAAGCTAAGTAGATGATAATTAAACTATTCTGAGAATAGAACGGGTTAACTTAATACCACCTTTCATTCCCATATGCCAGCTTTTCAGCTTTGTTGTGAATGAATGTATAAATGTGTAATTCTTAACTTCTACTCTAAATTTTAAAATTTCAGGATGGCTTTAACATCTATTCTTTCTAAATGTTTGAACTAGAGTCAAAAGTTCACATTTTTTAAAAAGTGTGGACACATTTATCAAGCATATAAAAGAGGTTAAGTTGAATATATAAGGAATTTTTATGCCAGCATTACACTGTCTGGCTTATTCTCCATTCAGATGATGCATGTCAAATTACCCACTAGGTAGCACTTAAATTAATATTAAATTATGTCACACTAGGACCTTATGTGCGAAAGAAGCGTGAACCACAATTTGAAACTTGAGCACAAAACTATTTTGAGCAGTATGCATTTTTCTACTTTATTCCTGGTAGTGTTTATACAATACATGTTGAACAATTAATACTGTGTTTTAAGAAAATTGAAGGAGAACCCAGGTAAGAAGATCAAGCATTAGAGATATCTGTAAATAAACATAAACTAACACAATGTATATAGTTATGTTTTCTAAACAAAAAGAGAAAAAATATAATTAATCCAATGAAAACCCCAAGTTAAATGCAAACACTACAAAAATATTTAGTATGTGTAAAAAATGAAAGAGCACTGAAATTTCAAAGAAAACCCAGCTATAAATGTGATTTATGTGATCTAAATTGTGTTGAGGGAGGCTCAGCTGAACATATATAAGGTGAACATGTATAAGAGGGATACTAAATGGGGCATGCACAGTAGGCCTTCTTGTTTCTCTCTATAATGTCCATCCATTCTGCTCCAAGTTTGAAGGAAAGCTGTATGTTAGAAAAATTGATTTGAAGACAAAGAAAATAATCTGACTTAACCAATATAATGATTAACACCATTTCTAATTTCATAAATAAATTATGCATTGATTTAAAGATGTGACAAGCAACAGGGAGAAAGCAGAACTATTTAACTCATTTTTTGCATCTGTCTTTACACAAAGGGAAAAAACAGACCAACCTATCAAAAATAGTGCCACAAAAAACAAAACAGAAACACAAGTTAAGATAGGCAAGAAAATGGTTAGGGAGCACCTGTCCAGCCTAGATGAGTTCAAATCGCCAGGACCAGATGGATTACACCCCAGAGTTCTCAAGGAACTGGCAGATGTGATATCGGAGCCACTGAACTATATTTTTCAAAGATCCTGGAACACAGGGGAACTACCAGAGGACTGGAAAAGAGCTGATGTAGTTCCCATCCTCAAAAAAGGAAAAAAAATGGATCCAGGAAATTACAGACCTATCAGCCTGACCTCAATACCTGGGAAGATCCTGGAAAAGATAATCAAACAACGAATCAACGAACACCTAGAGGCAAACAAAGTCATTACTAAAAGCCAACATGGGTTTGTCAAAAATAGATCATGCCAGACAAATCTTATTGCATTCTTTGACCAAGTGACAAAATTAGTGGATCAGAGGAATGCTGTGGACATAATTTACTTGGACTTCAGTAAGGCATTTGATAAAGTAGATCACAACCTACTACTTGACAAGATAGAAAAATGTGGGGTAGACAGAACCACCACCAGATGGATCCGTAGCTGGCTGACCGGCCGTACTCAGCGAGTGGTCCTCAATGGAACTGCATCTATATGGAGGGAAGTGTGTAGTGGGGTGCCCCAGGGCTCTGTTCTGGGCCCAGTACTCTTCAACATCTTCATCAACGATTTGGATGAAGGGATAGATGGGGAACTCATCAAATTTGCAGATGACACCAAGCTGGCAGGAATAGCCAACACTCCAGAAGACAGGCTTCAGATACAGAAGGATCTGGACAGACTTGAACACTGGGCACTAACTAACAAAATGAAATTCAATGGTGAAAAAAGCAAGGTTCTACATTTAGGCAAGAAAAACCAAATGCACAAGTACAGCATAGGTGGCACCATGCTCAATAGTAGTAACTGTGAGAGGGACCTCGGAGTCCTAGTAGACAATCACTTAAATATGAGCCAGCAGTGTGCTGCAGCTGCCAAAAAGGCCAACACAGTGCTAGGCTGCATTAACAGAGGGATAGAATCAAGATCACGTGAAGTATTAATACCACTCTTCAATGCCTTGGTAAGGCCACACTTGGAATACTGCATCCAGTTTTGGTCACCACGATGTAAAAAAGATGTTGAGACTCTAGAAAGAGTACAGAGAAGAGCAACAAAGATGATTAGGGGACTGGAGGCTAAAACATATAAGGAACGGTTGCTAGAATTGGGTATGTCTAGTTTAACGAAGAGAAGGACAAGGGGGGACATGATAGCAGTATTCCAATATCTCAGGGGCTGCCATAAAGAAGAGGGAATTAAGCTATTTTCCAAAGCACCTGAAGGCAGGACAAGAAGCAACGGGTGGAAACTCATCAAGGAGAGAAGCAACCTAGAACTAAGGAGAAACTTCCTGACAGTGAGAACAATTAATCAGTGGAACAGCTTGCCTCCAGAAGCAGTAAATGCTCCAACACTGGAAGTTTTTAAGAAGAGACTGGACAGCCATTTGTCCGAAATGGTGTAGGGTTTCCTGCCCGAGCAGGGGGTTGGACTAGATGACCTCCAAGGTCCCTTCCAACTTTACTACTATTATTATTATTATTATTATGTTGTTTTGTAAGCCTTGAATCTGCTTTCAATCAGTTTCACTGGATATTCTGAATTTTGGTATAATCTGAACCGTCATAGTCTTTTTACATCATAAACCAATGGTGGCGAACCTATGGCACATGTGCCAGAGGCAGCACTTAGAGCCCTCTCTATGGGCACACATGCCATTGCCCCAGCCCCGCCTCCCCTGCAGACCCCTCCTCACCAGCAGTCACCCCAGAGGAGAGTCGCCCCCGGGCCTGGCCCACAAAGAGCAGCGCAGCCAGGTAGCGGGGACAAGACTCCGCCCTCGCACCCCATCACATCAGATGATGCTGCGGGATGCGGGCGGAGGGCATGGCTGCCATAGCGTTGCTGGGACATCTGGGCGATCGGCACACTGTGGAGGTGGTGGGTGGCCCTCTGGGAGGGGCAGGTGGCAGAGCGGGGGTGAAGCGGGCAGGCTGGGGGGCAGGCAGGGGCAGTTTTTGAGCACTCAGTCTCTAAAAGGTTCGCCATCACTGCCATAAACCATCAAACACGAAAAACTTCAGCACACAGGGAACTAATAGAATTTGGTAACCAACTCTGAGTTAAAGGGAAAATCTGGTTCATGGAAACCTTTGTTTACCTTACTAAAGTATTAGAGTAAATTATAATTACTGAAAATCAGGAAACCAGGCAGGAAATTTAAACAGACAGAAAAAGAACCCTAATGGCCAAACCATCACTGAGGTTTAGTATCTGAAATAGACCAATCAACAAAAAGTCTGTATTTAAGAGATGTCCGTAGGTGTAATATGATGAATAATTATTTCAAAATATGTTACAAAGACTATCTAAAGATTTTAGGCCCAATTGTTCTAAGGCTTAAAAATAAAGAGGCTCTAAACACTCATAGGAGTGTTGTATATTCTGCCTTCTAAAAAGCTTCTCTGGGATGCCTCTACAGGACACATATGAAAGCAATCAATATATACAGTGCCTCATAGATGCACTGAATCCCAGCCTATATTCTAGACGTTGACAAATTTAGAGAAATCTGCAAGTTTTCTTAAAGTTCTCACAGAAAGTTGATAAGAAATAATTAAAGGACACTAGCAATTTACAACTGACTGCCAGTATATATCACAGCTCACAAGGGAACAAAAAAAAATATTTTAACTGATATTTTCAAAGAATTTGAATATAGTAGAATCATCTGCAAGCTTAGGAAATTTATTCCAGTTAGCTTCATCCATGGAAAATAACTACAGATTATACATATTAAGAATTACAACATTTAATAAAGAGAAATCTATGGAGAATAAAACTCAAACAAAGCTATAAACCCAAACCAATCCACGAATTTTATTCTTGGTAAATTTCATTAATATTGCATTTACTGCATGAATTACTGTCACAGTAAAAAAAACTGAATATCTGTTTTCAGAATGATATATTACATTATTCAGTATACAGTAAATAAGGTGAAGTAATTGACAAAATAAATAAATAACATATAAATTGTATCTGAAAGGAGCACATCGGAACTATATAGATTTGAGGTTATTATTAACTTTCTATCAAACTCAAACAAACTCAGTCTAAATATATAATGGCATTCAGACATTTATGAATTATTGTCTTCTCAATCTGATTCCCAGAAGAAAATAGTCTTATAAATAATCCCTTTAAAATCTACTAAGAAACTAGTAGCTTACAATATTATTTTCAGGGGAGGGTATAGGAATCTAATTTATTAGCCATTGCAAGCTAATAATTCAGAATCTGCATATAACATAGACTAATAAGGGACACGGAAAGTACTTGAAGAGCCAGTTTGACCTAGTGGTTAAGTCACCAGGCTAGAAAGCAGAAGATTGTTTATTATCTTAAATAAAACAAACCATAAACATTAAAGTAAGAATCAAATTACAGTACAGTTGCAGAATATTTCAAGCAAAAGATTCCAGGCATTTCGAGCTAGAAAAAAAAATCTGATTTTTCTCTCTAAAAAACTTGCAACTGTCTGCTAGAGCAGCGGTTCTTAACCTGTGCGTCGGGACCCTATTTGGGGTCAAATGACCATTTCACGGGGGTCGCCAAACAACGCAGTCCGCCATTTTTTTCCCCTTTTCCTTAGCTGTGCTACTCCCTTTTATTCTATTGGCTTTTGAAAGCCAATAGAATAGACTCTCTTGAATAGAGTCTAATTCTATTTGCTTTCAAAAGCCAATAGGAATTGTCCAGGCTGTCTCTGCCCTGCTGAGCCCGCCAAAAGTCCCATTCTGCAAACGGTGCTGCAAGTTGTCTGCAGAGAAGGCAAGCTGTCTGGAAGTTTCCACACCTCCCTGCTGAGCAACTACTAAAAATGTAAGTAAAAGAGGCCAGGGATGGGAGGTGGGAGGCTGGCAGGCGCAGGGAGGGTTGCTGGCGCACGTGGGGCCCGGCGGGTACCTTACCTCCCTTGGGCTGGGCCTGCGCCATCTCTGCCGCTTGCCAGCTACGCCTCGGCTGGCGCAGGGGGCAGCACCACGCATGTGCAGTGCTCCCAGGCAGGGAAAGTCCTTGACTTACGACAAGTTGGGTAGTCCTCGACTTAGGACTGGTTGGGTAGTCCTCGACTTACGACCAGCTGGGTAGTCCTCGACTTACGACCGGTTGGGGGTCGCAGCATTAAAAAGGTTGAGAACCACTGTGCTAGAGTAATGGGCTAGGTAGTCCAATAGTTTGAACTGATAAAAAGGCAGTTTCCTTATTGTAATAATAAAATTTCATAATATTAAACCTCCCACAAGAAGTCTTGCAACAGATTGTGAAAATTATCAAGCTTAGAGTTTGATGAATCCAGTAGAGTGGACAATTTTTTACCCTTAAAACATACAGTGCAACTCAAGGATCTTATGCCAGTTTGACTTGGGCATAACCAAGATGCACAAACTTATTTACAGGCATTTATGCAATGAGAAGTCTTTTTTATATAGACATGCACAGACATGGTTTTCAAAGGTTTACCCTGGGGGAACAAAGAAGGGTAGACTCCTGTTCAGCTGTAAAGAACTATGCAAGGATTGTTTGACAAGCCAATAGGAGCACATAAAAAATATAGGTTGGTGGCTTTCTTCAAATTACTTCTTTTGCTCACAACCTCTTTAAGATATAGTCTAGCCTTCTTTCTGTTTCATTCAAATCTATGCATAAATACTAAAATAATAACAAACCTAGAAAATCAAGGGATGAACTTTCAGCCAGGCCAAATAATCCCGACTGAAAAATAAAATTCAAGCTGTTTAAGGCAGGGATGCCCAACCCCTGAGCCACAGCCCAGTAATAGGCCACAGCCCATTCAGAACCAGACCATGCAAGTGGCGGATGAGCAAGTGAATGTATGCAGCTCCATTTGTGTGAGCTACGGGAAAGGTTGGGGACCGCTGGTTAGGTGATACCAAGAAATTCACAGCTTAATTGTATGTATACCTTTATCTATTTACCTAGCTAGTTAGCTATCTATCTATCTATCAATCAATCAAACACATGCTGCCCATCTCAATGAAGGTGACTCTAGGCGGCTTACAAACATTTAATAAAATGCAGAATAAAATATAAAAGCAATAAAGATCAAATTTAAAAAATTGAATTAAAACTAAGCAGAATGAAAAGGGAAGGTGCAAAGCGTGCACAAAGAGGCGATGGGGTGTTCTCTACTCCATTAGCCAACTCTAACACGTTACACACTCCATTAAGGCCCCAGGCTATGACTTCAGGGGGCAAGAGGTTCCAGAAAGTGGAAGCCATGGCAGAAAAGGCTCTTCTGGGCCCCGGCAGCCGAAATTCTTTGCCTGACAGGGTCTGAAGCATGCCCCCTCTGCTAGCACAATTATATACATGTATTTCTCACATGTATGTGGCTGCCCATCTCACATACTGATCCTGATGTAGAATTATCTCCTCAGAAGTCTCACAAAATTCAAAACATCTACTCCTAAAGACAATGCACATAAAGGCAGCACTTTCAGCTGTTCAGAGACAGTATAGTTTTTTAATCATAAAACAATGTCTCATGAAGCTTAAGAGAAGCCAAATTATGTGAAGAATCATTATCTGCCTAATATTATAAACAAAATCCAAGTTTCCAAGAATAAAATAAAAATTCAAAATAATTATATTGTGGAAGAATTTATTATAATTTGTACATATAAAATAAAGCTTTTAGAATTTTTTGAAAACTGTCATCTATTACAATAGTCAGAACACTTTTTCTGTCTTATGTATTTTGAAGGATATTGTGACAGATACCTCTGAGCATGCATGTTTGGGCATGAACGTTAACCTTGACGATTCCTTAGCTGTTTTTATTATGTAAAGTTGCAATAGTAATAATACTTTATATACAATACCAAAATAAGCACATTTTAAATATTAAACCAGTTTACCTCACCATTGTCCCATGCAAATTCTCCATATCCAAGTTTTAAATCAAATGAAAATTCGCCTTTATAGCAAGAACCATCTGGCCATTCTTGCACTCCAGATTTATACTCAATCCTATTATTGTTCAGATCATCTTCAACTAATATATCTCGCTGTTCATTACTCTCTTTCTCATAATCTTCTCTCTCTTCTTCTTCACCACACTCATAACCAACAGCAGGTATTTGCTCAGTCTCAATTTCACTTTCTTCTTCTCTTGAGAATAAATTATTTGCTGAGAAGCCATCTCCTGGTTTATTTTTCTTCTTTCTGAAATCATAATCAGGGACAGTTACTATTCTTTATCAACTAAATTCATCCAATACTACAACTTTTTCACACATAATGTCAGTAAGTAAATGTATGTAGTTTAGATTCCTATTCTTACCTATCAGGGAATATGCTTAATTTAAATAAGCAAAGTTTATTTTTCAGGAGACATGCCAAAGATATTGGAACTGTACCAATTCTGCTGCTAAACATAATCAAATACAAATTAGCAAAAAAAAGCAATTTTGTTGCTGGTTTATTTTGCACATTTAGAGAAATGGCAAATGACAGTAGCATCTTAAGATCACCAAATAATGTTGGACTATAAGCAGATATTACCATAACTATTCTAAATATCAATTTGTTGTTATCAAAAAAAATTAACTTTCAAGTCAAGTCAAAATAAGACATGAAGTGAAAGAACAAAAAACAATGGCCTGAAAGCTTTGTACACATTAAATAAAACAGCACATCTGCAATGGGTTGAGGCCCACACTATAATGTTTTAAACCAAATTATGGCAGGGAAATAAGTTTAGAAATACTTGCTAAATTTTTCAAGAAATATGTAACCTAGTGATTTTTAAAACTGGACAAACGACTAATGACATTCGTCCTGTCCAAGGATGTCCTCCTATTTTGTACAATCACCCTTCTCATTCACGTAGTTGTAAAGGAATCCCTGTTACAGTATCAGAAATTATTTTGTATTTTTTCTTCTTACCTATCTGAGAGGAAAAATTACCAAGAAGAAAAATAAAGAACTGCAACGCCTTTTGATTAATGACACTTAAAAGCCTGTGTCTGGATGTGATTATTTTTACTCATATCCAGAGGCTTTTAATACCCTTATACCTTGTCCCATCATTCTATAGTAAAAGCAGATTATAAACACGGTATTAACATAATATCGTAAGTGTACTTGTTTGCACTTTATAGTCGCATTCATAACGAATAGCGTTGCTATCCGAAGCAACAGATACTTATTTTTACAGCACCCGCTAGCCGTACAAAGCCTTCCCCGTGCAAAAAGATGTGCGCGGAGGGGGGGGGGACTTTCGTCTACCGGTACAAAAACACCACATTCCTTCCACTTCACACGTGAACGACACGCCGCTCCGCGGTCCACCTATTCTGCCTTCGCAGCCTCTGGTCAGGCCCCTTTCCCGATTCACGTGGGTGTGCATACTTGCCGCCGGCTTCCGCCAGAGGTCTGTAGAGATTAGGAATCTAGTTCTCATGGACCTGGGAGATCCGATAGTTTAGAGCCCCATAGAGAGCGGCACCACCCACCCAAGAGCCGGAGCGGCAGCCTGAATAGACTCCATTGGCTCTCAAGGTCGGAGAAGAGTCCTCCGGCCCCGCAGACGCCGCCTCATAAGGGCCGGGGAGGAGAGCAGAGACGTAACAGTCAGTGAAGACGTGCTCAAAGCGCTGCTCCTATCGCCCCTCACTAGCAGGGAAAAGGCGGGCAGGTCTCTCTCGGCAGCTCTGGATACTCCTCTCCTGCCTGGGCTGCGCTGCATCCCGGTTTCCATAGAGACCAAGGCGGAGTTTTATGGAGCGCGAAGTGGCTCCACCTCGCAGGGAGTTTTTATTTTTTTTTACTGGCGGTTCGGTTGGAGTAAATGCTCCGTTGTAAACAGACTATGGTAATGTTGTATGGTAATGGCTTACAATTGGTTTTCTCAGTGATCACATTAAATTCGGTGGGTACTTTGATCTAGATCAGGGGTAGGCAACCCAAAACACTCAAAGAGCCACTTGGACCCGTTTCCCACCAAAAACAAAACACTGGGAGCCGCAAAACCCTTTTGATATCTAAAATGAAGATAACACTGCATATATCCTTTCTAACCTTTATTATAGGTGTGTGTATGTGTGTGTGTGTATGTGTATATGTATATATACACACACACACACACACACACACACACATATACACATTAAAAATAAAAGTAAAAATATGACTCTTGGGAATATCCATACTATTAAAACAATGATCACCAAGAGAATGCTTTAAGAGAATAAAATTACATACACACACAGGTAAAAAAAGGATATATGCAGTGTTATCTTCATTTTAGATGTCAAAAGGGTCTCTCCCTCCCTCTCTATCTGCCCTTGGTCTGCCACTCCTCTTCCCCCACTCTCTCTCTCCTCTCTCTCTCTCTTTCTCTCTCTCCCCCCCCTCCTATCTGCTGCTCACCTGGCAAGCTTCAAGCTGTTGTCCAACAACCTCCGGGTAGGCAACCTCGTCTCTTTTATGACTCATGGACTTCAACTCCCAGAATTCCTGAGTCAGCCTAGCTGGGCTAGCTAGCTCTCTCCTGCCTGCTTCCTGCTTCCTTCAGAGACGCAGCAAAGGGAGGAGCTCCGCCCAGAAAGCTTTTCAGCTCCTCGGAGAACACTGTGAGTGCACTCTCTTTTACACATACACACACACACACACACACACACACAACACACACACACACACACACCCAGACACACACACAAACACACAGAGAGAGAAGCAGGGAAGTGCAATTGCCTCTCTCTGTCTCTGTCTCTCTCTGCAAAGGCAGAGGAGGCTGGGAGCCACAGGGGAAGGCTCAAAGAGCCGCATGCGGCTCCGGAGCCGTAGGTTGCCGACCTGTGATCTAGATTATATTCCAGGAATATTTTTAAATCTTAGCACTTCCTTGATGTTCAAAGTAAGGATGAATTCCTGTTTTGTTGTTGAACTAATTATCACCAGTTATGGTCCTGTGTAGTAGAAATGGTTCTCATACAAGACTTAATACCACCTCACCTTGCCTACTGCCTCTGTCCCTACGGAAAGAAATTCAAATACCTTAATTCCTCTAGAAATATAGTAAGTAAAAATATTGTGGGAATTCTAAATACAAACTGATAAAGTCTTGGCTCATAACATACAAGATTTAATTGTGATGGAAAACATAATGTGGATAATTGATGTGGCAATATCAGGAGTTAGTAGAATAGAAGATAAAGGATTAGAAGAAGACCTCAAAGTATTAAGGTATGAAAATCAAATTTGAGATTATGGCAAAAAGCGACCATGGTGGTCCCAGTGGCTATCAGCACACTGGATGTTATACCAAAAAATCTTAGACAGCACCTAGAAAATCTGTGCTTTGACAGAATGTCCAACTGTCAGTTACAAGGGCCACGCTGCTTGGATCCACATAGATAGTACAACATCTTATGTTCTTGGGAAGAACGGGATGCATATGAAGGCTAAAACCAGCTAAGAACTAGAAGCTGCGATTTCACACTTTTATGTACATGATACTAATAACAAAGAATTGAGGAGATAGCAAGAGACAGCAAATGCCACCTTGCAAAGAAGCTAAAGAAATAGTTAGTTAGATATTGCAAGAAAATTGCAGTTTGACTACAAACAACAGCATGACAAAGTAGCAACAATGCTGCATTGGAGTATCTACAACAAATACCATTTACCTGCAAGCAAGAACTTGTGTAACCACAAAATAGACAAAGTAATAAAAAATGAAGAAGCTGAAGTGCTCTAGGACTTTAAAATTCAAACAGACAAGCACCTATCACATCCCTAACAATTGTGAAATAAGAAAGACAAAAGTCTAGATAGTGGATGTGGTAGTACCTGGAGGCTGCAGAATAGAAAAGAAAGAACTTGAGAAAATCACAAATGAAAGACTGGAAGTAGAAATAGAAAGACTGTGGCAAAAGAAAGCAAAAGTAGTACCAATAGTAATAGGTGCTTTGGATGCAATCAGGAAAGTGGAACACCATTTGAATGCCATTAGCATTGATAAAATCACCATCAGGCAGCTTTAGTAGAAATAGTTTATATCCTGCAGTGATAGCTTTAACACCATCAAACAATATCATCTGCCTATCACAGATCCCTGGGAAGATAGGATAAGTGGATAAAAGTGCCAGTGTAAACACCTGGCTGGCTGTAAAACAAACTGGAGGGAAAAAAACACAACCTGAATGACTACCTTAAGAAAAGCCAAGAACCCTTGCTGAAGGAAGTCAATCAAAGAAAACAAAGGCTGAATATTGGGGGCGGGAGAGAGATTTTAAAAAATCCAATTTGTTAATTGGAAGAACAAGCCAATGCATGGTTAGTACTTGAAAGAAGGAAAAGCTGATAAAAAACGTAAATGAAGTTTGTTAAGGTCAGAAGCATTAAAGAAACTGAAAGCTTTGTTTTAATGGCTCAAGAAGATTTGCCAACTAATTGCATGAAGGCAAACATTCAACATGTAACAAACAGCAAACGTCATCTTTATAGTGAAACATATGAAACAATTGACCATTTATTAATGATTGAAGCAAAATTTCACAAACAGAAATCATGACCAAGTTTCCAGAATTATTCACTGGAAATTGCCAGAGGTGAATCAGAACAAGGAGCTCTTTCAGATAATTCCTTATCCATCTCACAAATGGATTATTACAATACACTGTATTGGGGGCTGCCCTTGAAGACTATCTGAAAGTTGCAGTAGGTCCAGAATGCAAGAGCACAGATAATGATGGGATTACCCCATTATGCACACATGACCCACTATACTATGAACTGAACTGGTTAGCAGTTGGCTTAATAGAATTAGGATAGGATGGGATGGGATGGGATGGGATGGAATAGGAATAGAAATAGAAATAGGAATAGAATAGAACAGAATCTTTACTGTCACTTTAAATGTAAGCTAAATCAGCATACATTAAAATGAAATTTCATTGCATTTAATTCTCAAAAAAATACCATTATGCATATACCCACATACACACACATATATGAACGACACAGAGAAACATCAGTCTAAGTCGAATGTATATATATATATATATGTGGTAAAAAAAGAATCCTGTGAATTTACAAGATGGATGGCATAAGGAACAAAGCTGTTACAGAATCTAGTAGTTCTGCTATAAATACTTTGACACCTCTTCCCCGAGGGAAGCAAAGGAAACACACTGTGAAGTAGGTGTGTAGCATTTATAAGCAATATCCTTAATAACGGGAAGCAAGCTTCCTATAATCTCAGCTGTCCTTACCACTCTCTGTATGGACTTTCTATCTGAGGCACTGTTGCCACCAAACCAAACAGTGATGCAGTTTGTTAAAACACTCTCAATTGTGCCTCTCTAAAAAGTGGCCAGGACAGGAGGAGAAAGATGTGGTCTCATCTGATGCAAGAAATGCAAATGCTGGTTTGCACGCTTCATTAAAGATAACGAATGAAGAGACCAGGTCAGATTGTAACTTATCTGCACCCTCAGGTACTTAATACTATTAACCACTTCCATAGCTGCAACTTTGATACAAAGTGGAATATGACTATGCCGGCTCTTTCTAAAATCAACAATGATCTCCTTTGTTTTATTAACATTCAAAACCAGGCTATTTTTATTTCACCACCAAAGCCTTCATCTCCTTCCTATTGCAGTTGGCTTCTTGGTACAATTTAAGATGCTGATTCTTCTTTAAGGCTATCTGAGGGACGTCTTGTCTCCAGTTGTTTTGCCCATCTGGTAAAGTCCAGCAGGATGCGTGTATTCTAGATCCTGTCAATTAAACAATGTCATGCAGTGGGACCCAGGAAGCATGCCTGCTCTTACAGCTCCTATCCTCTGGAATGATCTTCCTCCCCAGCAAAGTTTGTGTTAGGAAACAATTGAAGATCTTCCAGGGCCGTGGGAACACAATAAATGAAGAGATTTGTTTTGTTTTGTTTGGGAGTCTCTGTAGGTTTATTGTTTATATGTTGCTCCTCTGTTTAGCTATGTCATTTATATTATTGTTCTTTTTAAATTATAAATTTTCCAGAGTTGCTTTGGAATTGAATGGCCTTGGAATTTGATAAATACATTTTGATAAATAAATCATTGCTTTCTATTCTGTTTTGGTCATGCCATATTACATACATTTCTGGCTTCAGATTTTTAGAAAAGTTGTTCATATACTGGAGCATGTTCGGAAGAAATCAGGTGAATAAAAAGGGACTAAAAAGAGAACATTTATGTGGAAAAGGGATAAATTAGGCTGAAAAACTAAAGACTGGTGGACAGATTGTCTTGAGTCTGAAGGGCTCTCAAGTAAAAGATGGGTCAGAATTGATGCAATTGACTATTGTTACTGCTATTGGGGGATGTTTTAATGGGGGATCCTGCACTGGGCAGCAAGTTGGACTAGATGATTTCCAAGGTCTTTTCCAACCACTACCTTTTATTAGATCAATATGCCGATTGAAGACATAAAATGAACCCACCTGTTGAGTGTACACTGGAATGTCAGTGCATCTTGCTTTTCTGTGTATATACGGTTGAGAGAAATAGAAAAGAAAACTTAGATGAACTTCTAGAGAACCTATGACTTCAATAATGGATCTGGAATTTTTGATGTTTTGTTTCAAGCAGTTTGTTGCTATGGTCTCAGAGAAGTCTTAATCCTCACAGTATGTTAGACTGGAACTGCCTTAACTACTAGCCTCCATGTATTCTTCTGTAGTCAGTTGGACTAGGAAATGTATGAAGGTTATGGGGAAAATGAGATTTTAAGTGGAAGATTTTGAAAATAGGTACTTATGCATTTTTAAACAGTATTTGTGGATAATTCTTGATACATTTACACAGTACGTTGGCAGCATACTTCACTGCTTCCTTCATATCTAGTCTTAGTAATGTATTAAACCTGGATCTTGTTTACAAAAAAAAACCCACTTCACTTGAAACACAAAGGCTAAATTAGATACAGTGCTTTTTTGTAAAAATGATAAAAAAGGTGCCAGAACTCACACACATCATACAACCCACCTTGCCTACCCTACAAGGTTTACCTTTGTAGTTGGAAAAAAAAACCTTCAATTTTTAGTGTATCTAAAAGACTAGGATTTTGTTCAAGGCAACTCTGGAAAATCTGTCAAAAAAAGATGCTGGAACTCTGTTCCGGTGTGTTCTATGACAAAAAAAGCCCTGCATATTTTAAACATTTTTGCTAATCTCACCAGTGTTAAATGCCATCTATATAACATTTTGTATAAGTTTTCTTTATATGTTGCCGCTTTTGTTATTTTAGAGTTTCTTTCCCATAAGCTTTGCCACTTATATCCAAACTTCTTTGCCCATATTATCATTGTTTCTTTTACTTGTTCCTCTTCCATCTTTAGCAAATATTTGTAGTTTTTTATCAGTTTTTCATCTGTTTTCAGCAATATCTGGTCAAATTCTGTCTGTTCTTTGTAAAATCCCATTGTTTTAACATCTTTTTCTTAACTTGTTTGAATTTGAAAATATGACCACTATGATAAATCAATATCCTGCTCTTCTAAATCTTATCTGTACTTCAATTTCCCTTCATTGTCCAGAATATCTTTATAGGTCACAACTTCCTTGTAATTAATCAAGTTTGGGTAAGCAAATGCTTCCATTGTTGAAAGCCATCCAGGTATTTTAATATAAAATTTCACTTTTGTTTTTTCCCATTTTAAGAAAAGTGCATTTCTTATATAATGATTTTGAAAATATCTATGTATTTTATTCTTCCCATAACACAGAAAGGCATGCCATTCCAGTTGTAGGTCATCCCCACTAGGTCTAGTAATCTTTTGTCTAAGCATTGTCCACTCTTTTATCCATATTAATATAGTTGCTTGATAATATAGCATCCAGTCTGGCAGTCCAAGTCCTCCATTTTCTTTTGCTTCTTGTAACATTTTCAGTCTAATTCTGGCTTTTTTTCCTTGCCAAATAAATTTCAATATTATTGTATTTAGTTCATCAAAAAACGTTTTTCCCAATCCTATAGGTATTGTTTGAATAAAAAAAGTATTTGTGAATGTTGATTGTTGGTAGGGAGGTATCTTGACCATTTTGTTTCCTTCTTGGATTCTTAATTGAATTTTCAGAAAAAAGAAAACTGGAAAAAATCAGAGAGAAAATTTTTCTTTTCTTTTTTTTTTCTTTTTTTTTTGCATGACTCCTATGTAAATCTCCTATGAAACAACAGCCTGTCATTACGATTATTTCACTTTTGTCGAATAAACATAGCATCTCATCTTTGTCTATGTTGGTCGAACGTTTGTGAATAGGTGTACCTGGGAGCTCATCTCTTCTTCCTCCTCCATTGCCTCCATCTCCCATTGCCTCAGCCTCTCTATTAACGTTGTGGTGTCAGAGGTCAGCTGGGCAAGCCCTGGGGAAAAAATAATAAAATAACTTGTACTTGTGAACTTGTTAAACTTTACATAAAGCCAATCACTCTCATTTTAAAAATGAAAATGAAAATTAATTAAAATAATTAAAATAATACTCACTCTCCAGCTTTTTGGAGTTTCTTTTTAATCTCATAGTTTTCCTCCACAATATGTGCTAAATTGCTGGCAAGTGCTTTATTTTCTTCTTCCAACTAAGACATAAAAATGACCAGAAGCATACATCAGTCATAGAATAGAAATAAGCAGACCAAAAGAGAAGCTTAAGACAGGCTTATAAGGGAAACAACTGACTCACAGCGGTTATTCTGGCATTCTTTTCCACCAGCTCCTCCTGATGGCTTGCTGTTATTTCATGGAGATGCTCCTTCTACTTTCTTCATTGCTCTTGGTATTTCCAGAGACACATACCTGCCAAAAGAAGACACTGAACCCTTTGAACAGAGGAGGCAAATTTACTAAGCAAATCATAGTGTGGGACTGTCTCAAGACTCTATTGGTATTAAAGAAAAAATTACAAGACCCAGAAAACTGTCCTGTCTTCCCTCAATCCTTCTCACTAACCACTGTTAACCATTGTTAAGCAACAAACCTCATGACATCACCTGAATTTTTGCCTCTAGCCAGCTGCAGGGACAACTGAAGTTGCCTTTAGCTGCTCTACTGTTAAAGTGATTTTATAATGGCCGTTTTGTTCCAATTTAAACCTTGCTGTATGAACAATTGACACTGCCTCCAAGATAGTGTTGATGACAACATGGTCAGAAGCTAGGATCCTCCCATCTCTAGTTAGAGTAAGGTGACTCTGAGCCTCCTGACTTAATTAGGAATTAGGGATTTGAGGTCTCTAGCCAGCCTCACAACTGCTTTTCTCTGCACCCCAAGCAAAGCCACAGAGCTATGTTTCCCAGCCTTTCTGGAAAGCTGTCCTGTGGATGCATTTAAACTGAAGATATTAACACAGTTCATGAAGAAAGTGCCTGAAAGAAGATGTGCAGATACCGTATATGCTGGCGTATAAGGCGACTTCCGCAAGCGCTAAAATCAGCGCCAAAGATGGGGGTCATCTTATACTCCGAGTCGTCTTATACGCCGGAAATACTGGTAGTTTCCAGCGTATAAGACAACATTCTAGGAATGCAGCTCGGCGACAAAGACGGTCATATTATACGCCGGGTCGCCTTGTACGCTGGCATATACGGTATTTTTAAAATATTTTGGTTCAAAGGTTATTCTAAAAATTATTCTAAAATGTTTTTGCTTGTTCCTAGATTCTTTTGATTCCTGTTTTACTTCATCATTATCATTACTTATATCATGTTATCTGTCATATTACCTCTTCGAATTCTAAATCCTACAGTAAGACATACAAGCTGACAAGTAAATAAATAAAACCAAAGATCTCTTACCTCAAACAGGAGTTTCCCTGCATAATACAGGAATGTCTCCATTATAAATGAAATGTGCGAAACTAAGCTAAACTAAACTAATCCTAACTAAACTAATTCAACAAATATATGAAATATGATAAAAAATAAATAAACAGTATGTGTAAATAGGTATATTAAGTAAAATGAATAAACAAATAAATACTGTAAAATAAAACAAACCTAAGCTACATAAATACAGATAAATAAAAGCATAAGAAAATATAAGCAACCAAATAAAAGCAAATGAATCTAAGTGCCCACATGAGATAAAACTCTTGAGTGAATAGTTTTCACTCAGCCCACCCAAAAGTTGTATTTACTTCTTTGTGAGCTGATGCCGCTGTCAGCACCATTATGAGGCATGACCTCACAAAGAAAAAGCAAAGCAAACTGAGTGACTGAGTGAATGCTGCTCAGAGTTTTATCTATTTTTCAATATTGGTAGAAATGTAACTACAGAATTCTGCTGATGCATTTAGTGCAATCAAAGGATGATCTAATAAGAAAAATACACACAGGTGAGAGTGAAAAGGGGCTGCAGTGGTGAATGAGCAGACCTGGGGAGATTTCTCTGCTTGGCAGAGTAAATTGCAATAGGATCTCACTTTAAAGAGCTTCCACACATTGCTTCTTGTCCAGCTCTTAGGTGCTTTTGAGAATAAGTCAACCCCCTCATCTGTATGGCTGCCCCTCAATTATTGGAAGACAGCTGTCATGTTACCCCTAATCTTTCTCTTTGATAGGCTAGACAGAGCTAGTTCCCTTAACCAATGGTTGTACAATTTAGCCTCCAGACCTCTTATCATCTTAGTTGCTCTTCTCTGCACTCTTTCTAGACTCTCAGCATCTTTTTTGTATTGTGGCAATTTTCCAAAAAGCCCTTAAGAAGACCAGGTCCAAGTGTGATGGAAAGTGCACCTGAAGGAGCAGTGGGGGAGATTTTGGGCAACACAGAGTTCTCCCAGAAAGAGACCTGGATCAAGAGATTGTGCAGATCCGAGCTGGAAGGGGGAGCAGGAAAGAAGTTCAGTGTAGCTTGAATTCACACAAGATTCTCTCAGAGTATATCTAGTAAGTTAGAATTTGGCAAGATTCTATCGATTAGGTTTAAGCAAATAAAGGATTGAACTTAATTGGATTTCGCTGTGCCATTCCTGAACTTGGGCCTGACATTTCCTTCAACTATGGGATTTCTAGTTTTTTTTAGGATATCTATTATTATGGTCTTTTATATTTGTATTTGCTATTTTTCTCTCCCTAGTTTTTGAGTGGGTAAAAGTGAGGGATGGGAGGGATAGTTTCAGGCTTGCATAATTTTATTAACGTAACCTCAAACGTACATAGAACTAGCATTTCTGGTTCTGCTTCTTGTCTAGACACTAGAAATGTTAAGTTAATGTCAGGCCCATCATACATCTTGCAAATGAATTTAATGTCAGTTTTTGATGCAAGGATATTATATATTCTTATTGGAAAGTTTATTTGATTTTCACCTTGGAAAAATGGTTAAGCAAGCAAGGAAAGGTCGTTTTGATGTACAGAATAATTTTCTACCTTACAAGTAAATCTGATGTAGAATTCAGTTCTCAATGAAAACACCCTTGGAGTATACCGTAACTGAATTCATGGATTTATGCCTCATCCAAAATTTAATAGAATAACAGAGTTGAAAGGGACCTTGCTCAGGCAGCAAACTCTATGCTATTTCAGACAAATGGTTGTCCAATCTCTTCTTAAAAACGTCCAGTGTTGGAGCATTCACAACTTCTGGAGGCAAATGGTTCTACTGATTGTTCTAAGTGACAAGAAATTTCTCCTTAGTTCTAGGTTGCTTCTCTCTTTGATTAGTTTCCATCTGTTGCTTCTTGTCTTGCCTTCAGGTGCTTTGGAGAATAGCTTGACTCCCTCTTTGTGGCAACACCTGAGATATTGGAACACTGCTATCATGTCACTCCTAGTTCTTCTTTTCATTAAACTAGACATACCTAATTCCAGCAACCTTTCTTTATATGTTTTAGCCTCCAGTCCCGTAAAATTTTCCAAGGATAGAGTTTCCAAGGATAGAGCCTCCAGTAATTCTGCATATTAATGCAACTCTCTACTATTCTTTGCCAAAGCATGGTATATGTCATAAAGTTTATCAGTACATGATTTGAATCTATTTATTCCTGAAGTTTCCTTGACAGCATCACCTACTGATAATTCTAGTCTGTGATTAGCACAATGCCAAACTATAAGAGAAGGAAAACGTTCTGACAGCAAGTTTTTCATTCCACTTTTACACCCTAACATCACAGCAGCGCCATCGCACGCCAGAGAAATCAAATATTTTTTAAATAATCTTCTGTCATCCCATAAGAGTGAAGACATTGGAGGGATACTTCCGGTGGATAACGTCGATGATGGCGGCTACCTTGTAGCCATCCTCCTGGAAGAGCGTGAGAACCGTGGAGCGCAGCAGATATCAGCTGTCCCGCGGCTCGAAATCCCCTTCCCGGGCGAAGGGGGGGAAGAGAATCACCCGAATAGAGGTAGAGCCTCTCAAACCCCCCAGGAATTTTTTTCTTGGGGGGTGAAAAGAGAGCTCCCTCGGAGTTCGGGTTGCCTCCGCCTCCCAGCTGTCTTTGATCCTTTGGGAACAAAGTAAAACGCTGCTATCATCTCCGTTCTTAAAGAAACCTGGTGAGTTATTTTTAAAGCGGACAGAGCTGGGTAAAGGATTGAACTTATTGGTTTTTATTTGATTTTTAGTTTAGGTTGATTTTTTCTTTTTCCTTTTTTTTTGTTTGAGTGGAGAGTCAAAGTAAAATGGCGATTTGAAAGTTTTTTTTTTCCAGAAAAAAGTGAGTCAAACGGAACGTTATGGACTATATAGCTTTCTTTTAAACTTTTTTCCTTTTTTCTAAAAGGTGGATTTGAGATTTTTAAACTCTCCTTTGTTTTTTTTTATTCTTTTTGAGGATATTTTTATTGCTTTTTTTTAAGAAGGAAGAAAGAAGAAACAAGATTTTTTTTGTTTTTTTTTTTAAATGGCTTCAAAGAGACAAGCAGCTTCTACAGTTCCAAAGGTGTCTTCTTCTCCTGCAATTCTACCGGCACAACAACCTAAAGCTACACCACCACCTTCTCCTCCTTTGCCAACAATAATGGTACAAGATATGAAAGATATAATGGGAAATGCTGTATCTCAAATCAGAGGGGAAATGAAGGAGCTTTTAGAGCAGAATAAAATCCAAATCAGAGGGGAAATGAAGGAGCTTTTGGAGCAGAACAATACTATTCTGAGGCAAGACATAGTTATGGCATTAACAGGACTTGCTTCTGTGGTTGAGAAGCTAGATTCTAGAGTGGAAGAGGTTGAAGATAAGGTTGATATTCTGGAAGACAAGTTTGAAGGCATGGAAAAAAAGATGGAAATTTCACAAGATGATATTGTTATGTCTCAGTATAGGGAAATGGAATATGCTTTAAAAATTAGGGGGCTGAAAGAGGACATGCAGCAGGACCTGACAGAGATTGTGGTAAATGACCCTGCTGTTATTTTGAATAGAAATAAAGAAGAGATATTTAGAGAAGTGGAAAAAATTTACAGAGTTAACTCCTGGGTCGCAAAACAAAAAAACTTACCAAGAGATGTGGTGATTTATTTTGCAAAGAGATCTCTGCGTAATGAAATCATACAAGCTTTCTATAATAAGAGATTCCAGATTGCTGCTCAAGATGTCATTATTTTAAAGGAGATCCCATCTAAAATTTTAAGAAAGAGAAAAGACTTTGCCTTTTTAGCTAATGAGCTTAAAAAAAGAATGATGCCATTTAGATGGGAGATTCCGATGGGTATTGTTGTGAGCCATGCGGGGACGCGCTATAGACTTAATACAGTTACTAAAGCAAAGGAGTTTTACAGTTCGGTCCTGGGAGCAGGCTCACCATCATCTATGATGCAGAAAGGTCTGGATGATAAAGAGGTGGAACAGCAGTCTGAAGTATTAGGTGTGATGTTTGCTGTAAAGCTACAGGCGGAGTGGTCGCGACAAACAGAGATCAAAGAGCAAAGAATGACCCGTCAGCATATAGACGTAAGGAAAAGGAACAACAGAAGAAAGAAGTTAAAGAATCTCTTCAAGAAATTGTTTCACTGCCGGTGGGAGAAGCAAGACCTAAGAGTTCTGCAGCACATTCTTCAATGGCAGATCTTTAAGCAGTCTTCTCCAGGCTTCTGGTTAAGGGAGATGGTAAAGCTCCTGACCTGGAATGCTAATGGACTTAATTCCCCTCAAAAGAGAAAGAAAATCTTTCACTACTTAAAGCAACATAATAATGATATTATTTGTTTGCAGGAAACACATATTACACTTAAAGATCAAAAATATCTAGTTAACGCTCGCTTGGGATCTCATTTTGTATCTTCTGCTCCTGGGAAAAAAGGGGGAGTAGTTATTTATGGTAAGCAAAATTTATCAGCCTGTTTGGTAGAATCTGATCCTCAAGGGAGATATGTTATGATTGAAATTGCCTTATATGGTAAGAAAGTACTTATAGTGGGATTGTACGCACCAAATCAACAACAGGAACAATTTTATAGACTGCTACATCAGAAACTAACTTTGTTGGATTACA